AGTCCTTAGGTATAATATCTTAACTATAATATTTGTTAAAGTATTTTTTAATATAGCTAGGTAGGATAATAGTTCTATATAAAGCGTAGATAAGGATCCTATAGACTTTGTTTAGGTTAAGATAGTAGGAGAGTAAGGATATAGTAGAGGATATTTTAGAATATAGAAATAATAGAGATATAATAGGTAGTATTAAGGGAGATAATATTACAAAACTATAGCTAGAATAAGGAGTGTATAGTATAAGGATTCCCCTTGCTAGGTAGATTTCTATATACCTGCGTTAGCAAATTATTAGCACTAACTAACCTTAGTGTAATAATTTAGCTACGCGTTATACTAGTAACCCTACTAGCTACTCCTAACTACTTAACCTATATATAAAATAGCTTTATAGCACTTTTCCTAGATACTACTACCTATACTATAACCTAAGGGACTCTAGGATTATCTCTAGTAGAGATTAAGGGTAATACTAACCTTTCTTACCTAGTCTATAGTATATTTAATAAGGTAGACTAGGATAAACTAGAATTCTACTTTATTACTTATATAGTAGAGCCTATCTAAGCATTTATTATATATAACCTAGACGCTATAATAAAATAGATATATTAATATATTAGTAAGGACTAGCTTTTATAACTTATTAATAATATCTATAAGAAAGCTATTAGCGTAGTGCTAGATTCCTTTAATAAAAACGCTATAAAATATAGCTATACCTATAAAGAACTTATAACTTACTAAGTTAATAAGTAACTTAAGGAGAAGTTTAATATTACTATATTAGAGGCTATTATAAATATATAGGACTTTATTAAAGCTAAGCAAGAATATATTATATATAATTCTACTAAGTAATAATACTAAGCGTTTATAAAGTTATTACATAGTATTAGTATAAAGGAAGTTACTAAAATAATACACTAGGCAAGTATAGTAGCTATAGTTAGCTATTTGCAGGATTAGCGCGTTATCTTAGATACCTAGCAAGAACTTTATTAAGAGGGTAAGAGGCTCTTTATAAATATAGGGGTATAGGTACTAGGGCTAATAGACGCTAGTATAATAGAATGTGCTATAGGTAATAAAAGTATACTAGCAACCTAGCTTACCTAAATATATAGTGTAGGGTAGGGAATAAGCCTTATACTTATAGGAATTAAGGTTACAAGCTTTTATTAGCTATTAGCTATAGTAAAGTAGAGTAAAATAGCTAATATCTTAGGAGATATATAGTACTAGTAGGTAATAGTAGCACTATATAAGGAGTATAAACGTTTAGAAGGCCTCTTATACTAGAGAGTAAAGTTAATAGGTTAGTAAGGGAGGGGCCTTGCTATAGTAGCAAGAGAGTAGTTATTTAGTAAGGTCTATTAGGACAAGAATAGTAACACTATATTAGTGTAGGACAATCTAATAAGCTATTAATCCTAGTCCTAGTACCTAGAATATAGTAAATAATAGAAAATGTTAAAGGATAGGTTTAGGGTTAGGATTTTTACCTTTCTACTAAGAGGTAGCGTACTAAACTCTTTTATAGAAAGAAGACCCCTATAGGTCTTGCAAGAATAGATTAAAATAATTGCGTAATATAACAAGAGGGTTAAAGACATAGCTAAGGTAATTAAACTATTATTGCTAAGCTATCTGTAAGAAGAATAGCTACTAAGGGAGCTATTATTAGAAATAGTAGATAGTAGAGAACTTAGAGAGTACAACTTGCTAGATTTGCTTCTGCCTATAGTAGACACGTAGAGAAACTTTAAGGTAGTATTAGATAATATAGATATTCCTAACTCTTAGTTAGTAGCCTCCTAGCTATTAATATAATATAGGGATATAGCAAAGCACCTATTAGTAAACTATACTATTCTATATAACTAATACTTAATTTTATTATAAAGTAAGCTTAGCTAGCTAATAGTAGGAAATTACTTAGCTAGAAAGTCCTTAGTTTACCTAATATAATAGCGCAAGTAGCAAATACCCTATAGCTAACTAGTCTATTCTAGGTTACCTTAGAGCGTAGAAATACCTAGTAGGTTATTAGTCCTCTTATGCCTAGTATTTTAGGCGTAGTATAGGTAGAAAATTCCTAAGGATCCTTATAATTACTAGCTTTACCTATTATAGTTGCTAGCACTTCCTATACTACTATTATCCCCTATTAACACTATTATAGTATTTATATATCTATAATTTTACACCTCTTCTATAATTTCTAGCTACTTAAGGGATTAAATAGATATTACTAAATTACTCTAAGTATAGGAAACTATAGTATTAATAGCTACTATATAGCTTTCCCTAGTTTTAATAACTAAGCTTGCGTCTAGGTTTTAGTATTCCTTACTAAGCTAGCTTTTGCTATCTAGCGTACTTTTGCTAGTTTTAGTAGCAAAGTTTGTTTAAAAGTTTTAATATTCCTTACTAAGCTAGCTTTTACTATCTAGCGTACTTTTGCTATCTAGCGTACTTTTGCTATCTAGCGTAGTTTTGCTAGTTTTAGCGGCAAAGTTCGTTTAAAAGTTTTAATATTCCTTGCTAAGCTAGCTTTTGCTATCTAGCGTCCTAACGCACAAGCCAATTTTTTAGTACTTTAATAGCAAAAGTTCGCAAACTAATATCCTTAGGTGGTATAGATAGGTATAGGCAATAGGTATAGTAGGTAGTATAGGTAGGGTAGGGGTTACAGGAAATAGGTTTTGGGTTTTAGGTAGGGGTCGCAGGAAACGGGTTTTAGGTAGCAGGGGTCGCAGGAAACAGGTTTTAGGTAGTAGGGGTTAGGGTAGAGGTCGCAGGAAACAGGTTTTAGGTAGCAGGGGTCGCAGGAAACAGGTTTTAGGTAATAGGGGTTAGGGTTTTAGGTTTTAATTTTCCTCGCACAGTTATTTCCTGCAAGACGCTAGTAGCGTACAGTCCTCTTTAGAGTCGTTTCCTAGTAGGAAACGACTTTCCTATAATATGTAGGGAATCTAGTAGGTAAAAATTAGGTGTAGCGCTTTATTAACTACTATAATATTAATCTTATCTCCTATTAGGCTACTAGGCTTAATTATAACTACTTTAAAGCTAATTCTACCTTTAAGTATAGCTTATACTTTAAGCTTTTATACTAAAAAATAGAGTAATATAATATTAAGAGTTAGTATATCTATAATATAGATAAGAAGGGTTTTCTTATTAGAGTACTATTAAAAATTAAATATATATTTAATAAGAGCGCCTATAAGTAGAGAAAGATTAGAGCTATACTCTAGGATAGTAATAGGGAGTAGATTACTACTATAGCTTATATATACGCTAATAGTACTACTCTTACTCCTACCCTTATTTATTAGTCCTAATCTAGAGCTCTATAGGATACCTAGTTATAAGATTTTAACCTATTATAATACTAAGCTTTCTTTATAGGATTACTAAGTAGGTAGATAAGCTACACTTTAGGGGTATCCTAGCTTAAGGAGGTATTTAATTATAAGATAAAAGCTAAAGCTTATACTTTATACTAGCTCCTTATCCTTAATAGCTATAGATCTTATATAATAATAGAGTTTATTAAGTACTATAATAAATATAAGATCCTACTTATAATATATCCCCCTTATAGCACTTATACCCTTTAGCTACTTAATATTATAGTATTTGCTCCCTTAATAGCTTTATATAAAGCTTAACTATCTAGTTTTCTAGATAGCTCCTAAGGGCTTATAAGCATTACTAAGAGGGATTTATACTAGTTATTTAATACTATATAGAGTAATACCTTTAAGGAAAAGCTAATATTAATAGCTTTTAAAGTAACAGGTATCTTACTACTTAACCTTAATATTACCCTTTTAAGGTTTAAAGCACCTATAAATAATAGTAACTAGCCTTCTTTAAGTAATAGTATAACCTTAATATTAAGTATAAGTAATTAGAGAAAGATAGAGTAGTTACTCTATAATACTATAATTAATATCTATAATAAATAGTTAAAGAAGCTTAGCTAGATAATCTATACTATATTAGTAAGAAATACTCTACTTAACTACAAAAATAAACACTTAAGGGCTACCCTAGCTAATAAGAAGAAGTGTAGGAAGCGTGGTAAACCTCTAATATTACCCCCTAATAATAATTATAGTAGTAGTGCCTAATTTATTTTACTATTAAAGGTAAAGCAAGTATTTAAGCTTTAGAAGTAAAAGAACCTTAAAGAATAAGAGCTATAATACTAAAAAAGCAAGGTAATTAAGCTTTATAAGTAATAGAAGCTTACTAAAGCTTAATTTATAAAGGAGTGTTACCTAAATTAAGTAATTACTAAGAAAGAGTAGAAGGAGAAAGCTACTTAAAAAGCTACTATATATAAGAAGTAGAAAACTACTAAGTAACTAGAAAAGTAACTCTAAAATAATATTAAAATATCCTAAATAGGTAAGAGGTAAATCCTTAAGCCTCCTACTATTATACTAGCTAAGGTGGTTAACAAGGAGCTAGTAGAAGAGGATATAGTAGTAGAGGCAACTTTATAGCATAGGCGCCTAATTAGACCCCCTAAAAAGCTACTTATATAATCTAAAATATTTAATCTACTCTAATAGATCTAATAATTACAACTCTAAAAAATCTTGTAATAATAGCTATTATAGGTGGCGCAATATCCTTATTTAGTGGGTGGTGGATTTTGGTGTTGGTGGGCGCTCGGTGGGGGTGGGCGCTCGGTGGTGGATCACGTTATCGATCCGGTTGCCGTGCCGTCTTACCCTGCTGGCTTCCTCTCATCTGCTGTTCTCCTCAATCAACAAAACACCATGAATTAGGTGTCGCATGCAAATTTGGTCTTGGTATCATATGAGCGAACACGTTCTTTCTGACCTTCTGCGTTTGCCTACTTAATTCGACCATCTTCCGCATCGTTCCGTGGCCATTTCTTATCTACACGACACTGCTGTTAACACTCCTTTTCGCTCGCTTCGCAACAGCGAGGCGCAAATAATTAGCTCACAATGTCTTTGCATACCTACCAGCGCGTATCTGATGGGGAACATGTATTCGAGGGCGAGAACAATGATCCCCCAAGGCTAGATTCACCAACCTCTAAGTCCTGGCTCAAGAGGCCTTCCGTGAGTCCATGTAATGCACACGTGACTCACACTTGCTGACGTGCCCAGATATTCTGGTTACTACCTGTCTTTCTATTGTTCAACTTAGCCATGGGGGCAACTGCAATGCCTAGAATGAACGTTATCACGTCACTTATCTGTCGTAATATCCTGACAGAAGGCATGGAAACAAAATTGCAGAGTAACGACACGCTGCAGCCACGACACGGTGGCGGTATGCCGAGTGGCTCAGGCAATACGAGTATCGCTGCTGGAAACTACTCTGCGTCTGCTATTATCATTGGAGATTACAATCCTCAGTGTGCGTTGAAGGAAATTGAGTCCGCCACGGCGATGTTCAATCTTTTGGGCAACCTGGTTGCCGGTGTGATTGCTGCGGTGACGACGCCGTTTTGGGGTAAGCTGAGCGATCACTTTGGGCGCGTGAAGCCATTGGCGGCCGCAACTACTATCATGTTGGCTTCAGAATCTGTCATGGTCCTTGTGGCCAAGTTTCCAGATGTCCTGCCGCTTGGATGGGTTTATCTAACCTTCGTGCTAGAGGGCGTCAGGTAGGATCTTTGGTCTAGCTGTGTCTACGCTTGCACTGACGACGATGTAGCGGTTCTTTCATTTCTATCATGGCTCTAGCGTCATCTTATGCAGCAGATTGCACTAAATCTGACGACAGGAATGTTGCACTCGGCTGGTTCCATGGGAGCATGTTTTTCGGCATGGCCGTGGGCCCTGCCTTTGGTGGATTCCTTGGGATGAGTGCGGGCAAAAGTAACCCTATGCTTGTATTCTATACCGGCCTGGTATGTTTTTATATCTTTCATTTCGACAATTTTACTTATAGCGCTAATCAACTTTAAGGCCATGAGAGTATTGGGTATCTTGCTGTTGGCGATTGTACCCGAAAGTCTGCATGTTCAGTTTGAAGATCGTCGTTCATTGTGGGTGCAAGCATCACAGTACCTCCACAAACATTCGCAAGGCTCGTGGTCGGAGAAATTGGGGCGTGTGAATCCCATTCATCTCCTCGCCATCCTGTCACCGTGGAACAACAACGATGACAAATCAGCCCAAAGCAATCTACTTGCTCTTGCAATCATCAACACTATTGTCTTCGGTGCAATGATGGGCGCCATGAATGTCATGATGGTATACTCGGAGTTTCGGTTTGACTGGGGAAACAAGGAATCTGGTGTTTTCCTCTCCATCGTGAACGTGTGTCGTACTCTTGCCACTGTGGTTGTTCTTCCATTAGTCATAATGGTTTCACGCCGCTTGTCGGGGTCCAAGAGCTCGTCTATTAGGCACATCAATGCTGCCGCTTCTATAAATAACACAGTCGGCCAGATTGACAGATTGGATATCTTCCTACTTCGCATTTCTATCCTCTCCGACACCATTGGCTACATCGGCTACGCACTGTCTCCCACGGGCGCTCTGTTCACACTATCTGGCGCCATTGCCTCCTTTGGCGCCATAGGACTTGCCACATCGGAAGCAAGCATGACAAAACTCTTACCACCTTCACGGACAGGTGAGTTGTTGGGAGCTCTGGGTTTTTTGCAAGCGATGGCGCGAATTATAGCACCAACCGTGGTTGGTTTGACTTACAGTTGGACGACTGAAAGCATGCCGCAACTTGTGTTTTGGGGCATCGCGGTCTGCTTTGGTATAGCAGGTTTGTTGACTGTGGCTCTCAAGGCTGGCAAAGCATATCTTGTCAGCAGAGGCGAAGAAGAAGGAGAGAGCATGGAACCGCTACAGGCTGGTAAACGATACGACGATACTGACTGATTAGTGAATGCTGTCATGACTAAACCCAAATTTGTCCATGACTTCCTAGATCCTGAAAGCCATGGATCATGGTTGGTTCATGTCTAAGTCTATCAGAATCCTTCGGACTATAAGGAGTGTCATTTCAACCTTGTTTAGTGTTAGGGTGCTGTACCTCAGCGCATTAGCGATGCGAGTAGATAGAAATTAAGTTTGTCTAATCTCACAGACTAACAGTGAGGAACTTCTCGTAAAATTTAAGCATAAAGATAATATCATAGATGTCAATTGCTTCAACTATCCTTCAGTCGCGGTGGGTATTGATGTCTTCGTGACACCACCAGGACTAGAGTCGCCACCAAACGACTTCGTTATTTCTATCAGGACGAATACGGATAAAACAAGCGGCGTGTGCTATTCACTCGGTTATTATTCTTCAGGGACTTGGACAGCATGCAAGTGTGATGAAGGCATTGCGGTGATGACCTTGTAGCAAATTGGTATCAGTTAGGTATGGTATGGCGTCGCGATGTGTTCGTGCAAAGTGCCAACTTGCTTACCAGTCTTCAATTATACAGGCTGCTTACACGGTCGATTTTCTGATTCCCAAACTGGTACCGCATCTTCTTTTTTGCTTCGTTGGTTCAGCTTTTACAAACGTCGCCGCCATTTCTTTTGGGGGAGCGCCTGATTCATTCTTCATGAGACAACTTGGCTCCAGGATTCATAGTACTGGCATGTGTATCTGGGATATATGTGCATCCATTGTCTCAGACCGAGATTGTACGTATTGCTCACCGCCCCCGTGCGCGTCGCTATCTTGGGATTGCTCTGGCCGCTTTATTGACAAGATGACTTATTTATAGTACATGTACTCAAGAGGATAGCGCCAGCGCATTTTCGGAATCACCATATCTGTCGTATGGTCTAAACAGCTTTTGGTAGAGACTAGCAAAAAAGACTAGTGTAGATTGCCAGGCTTGAAAATTGATTGTTCCATAGTAACCAGGAACAAGGGGGGGAATTCGAGCGAAGGATAAGCATCTGCTCGCGACACCTAGAGCTTATCTCCTCACAAGCCTTTGTCTCGAGGCTTATCCAATCTTCGAGACCAACCGTTGTACCTTGGATCTTTCTCTATTACTATGAACTGCTGGCGGCGTTCAGTACTTCAGAGTCTTCCACGCTAAACGCAGTACATCCGGTAGGTAGGCGAACTTGCGAGTTTTTCTGTAGGAAGATGGAGATTCTCTGCTTCTTCTTGGATAGGCTATACTTAACTAAATTTTGTAATGATTCCGCTGTAACCACTTACTCCAAAAAATCCATCAATAAGAGCCTAGGCCATTAATCAAAGCTTTCCCAGGCTTCTTCAATCCTCTCAACTGATTGGAGGGGGGAATAGTTCTGCGATTTAAATGGAAATTGTAGTTTTGTTTTAAGGGGATAGGAGAAATCTTGTCGCATGGTGCTCTAAAGCACTTCGATCCGTATGTCGAGGCCTCTAAGGACACTACTAGATTTTTGTACGCAACATAGGAAGTTGTCAAAAAAATTAACTCTAGCCGTTGCATCTTTGGATATGTAACTGTACTATTACCTCCTGTTCCTGGTTCCTTCCTTGTGGCGTAAGCTACAGCTCTATAAACTATCTTAGTAGTAGAGCAAGAATAAATATAAAGATCATAACTTCAAGGTAAAGTTTAGGTAGCCCTTACTCTTCTAGAATTAAATAATTCAGGATAATACACATACTATAGGCACTAGCACGGATACATTGAGCGCCAAACCCTCGTTGCAATTTGCAAAGCCATTAGCTGCACGTCCTGCATAGTTGCTTTGCGACTTAACGTGATCCACCACCGAGCGCCCACCCCCACCGAGCGCCCACCAACACCAAAATCACCAAATTTTCAACACCAAATTTCTTAACAACTATGGCACCTATTAACGACGCGCTTGCAGCAATTAAATCCTTAACTCTTAGAGAAGATTTTATATACTTAGAAATAGTAGAAAAGTATAGTTACTTGTAGTTAACCTTATCTAGATACTACTAGAAAATTTAGTAGGTATATACTACTACTCTACTAAATAGTTAAATACTTAATACTATATAAAAAAGCAAGCTTATAGAGTATATTAAAGAGCTTTATAGGTAAGGATTACCCCTTATATAGACTATTATTTAAAATTTTATAACTAAAATAATAGGGAATCTAATAGGTAAAAATTAGGTGTAGCGCTTTATTAACTACTATAATATTAATCTTATCTCTTATTAGGCTACTAGGCCTAATTATTACTACTTTAAAGCTAATTCTACCTTTAAGTATAGCTTATACTTTAAGCTTTTATACTAAAAAATAGAGTAATATAATATTAAGAGTTAGTATATCTATAATATAGATAAGAAGGGTTTTCTTATTAGAGTACTATTAAAAACTAAATATATATTTAATAAGAGCGCCTATAAGCAGAGAAAGATTAGAGCTATACTCTAGGATAGTAATAGGGAGTAGATTACTACTATAGCTTGTATATACGCTAATAGTACTACTCTTACCTTTACCCTTATTTATTAGTCCTAATCTAGAGCTTTATAAGATACCTAGTTATAAGATTTTAACCTATTATAATACTAAGGTTTCTTTATAGGATTACTAAGTAGGTAGATAAGCCACACCCTAGGGGTATCCTAGCTTAAGGAGGTGTTTAATTATAAGATAAAAGCTAAAGCTTATACTTTATACTAGCTCCTTATCCTTAATAGCTATAAATCTTATATAATAATAGAGTTTATTAAGTACTATAATAAATATAAGATCCTACTTATAATATATCCCCCTTATAGCACTTACACCCTTTAGCTACTTAATATTATAGTATTTACTCCCTTTATAGCTTTATATAAAGCTTAACTATCTAGTTTTCTAGATAGCTCCTAAGGGCTTACAAGCATTTCTAAAAGGGATTTCTACTAGTTATTTAATACTATATAGAGTAATACCTTTAAGGAAAAGCTAATATTAATAGCTTTTAAAGTAATAGGTATCTTACTACTTAACCCTAATATTATCCTTTTAAGGTTTAAAGCACCTATAAATAATAGTAACTAGCCTTCTTTAAGTAATAGTATAACCTTAATATTAAGTGCAAGCAATTAGAGAAAGATAGAGTAGTTACTCTATAATACTATAATTAATATTTATAATAAATAGTTAAAGAAGCTTAGCTAGATAATCTATACTATATTAGTAAGAAATACTCTACTTAACTATAAAAATAAATACCTAAGGGCTGCCCTAGCTAATAAGAAGAAGCGTAGAAAGTATAGTAAACCTCTATTATTACCCCCTAATAATAATTATAGTAGTAGTACCTAATTTATTTTACTATTAAAGGTAGAGCAAGTGTTTAAGCTCTAGGAGTAAAAGAACCTTAAAGAATAGGAGCTATAATACTAAAAAAGTAAGGTAATTAAGCTTTATAAGTAATAGAAGCTTGCTAAAGCTTAACTTATAGAGGAGTGTTGCCTAAATTAAATAATTACTAAGAAGGAGTAGGAGGAGAAAGCTACCTAAAAAGCTACTACACGTAATAAGTAGAAAACTACTAAGTAACTAGAAAAGTAACTCTAAAATAATATTAAAATATCCTAAATAGGTAAGAGGCAAATCCTTAAGCCTCCTACTATTATACTAGCTAAGGTGGTTAATAAGGAGCTAGTAGAAGAGGATATAGTAGTAGAGGTAACTTTATAGCGTGGGCGCCTAATTAGACCCCCTAAAAAGCTGCTTATATAATCTAAAATATTTAATCTACTCTAATAGATCTAATAATCGCGACTCTAAGAAATCTTGTAATAATAGCTATTATAGGTGGCGCAATATCCTTATTTAGTGGGTGGTGGATTTTGGTGTTAGTGGGCGCTCGGTGGGGGTGGGCGCTCGGTGGTGGATCACGTTAATACAGAGACTAGCGGTTTTACATGCTTAGTAAGCTTGCTACTTGTTAAATTAAAACTTGTAATCTCTTTATAGAGAGTATACAATGCGAGCAATACTATAGTATAGACGCATGCTGTTTTCGCTATAATATTCTAGTATGTACCGTACGCATTGTAACCCCGCAAACACGCAATCTGCGCCTGAAGCCATGTATTATATAAAGACGTCATAAACTATTTAGAGATGTAATAGGTCTTGTTTATAAGAGGCTTAGTCATAGTGTTATAATAGCACTGTCACGGTCTAAGATCTTAAGATGAATCTTAGGAATCTCCTTGCTCTAGTCTTTTAGTGCTAGTATTTCTTCGGTGTCTAACAAGAATAGGGTGGCGGTTCTTATTTAGAGAGGCAAGCACAGCAGAAAAAATGAATTGGAAAATTGATATTCTTCGCCTACACCAAAGATTCGAGCTCTCGAGTAAAGGCATTTCTCATACCGAAATAAAAAGGTGGGCTAGGTAGAACGGCGCCGAAATCTAGAGTTCTCGAACGCAAACACTGTGTGCGAAGGTCTCGAAGGAACGTATCGCGAACAAGCGCGGATCTGATGCTTGTTGTGGTGCCGCACTAACCTTTCTTGTCGCACTCGCGCGCCTCTGCTAGAATTTGCTTGTGGATCTAGAGCACGCAATCTTTCGCCTAGACTTGCAGAGCAGCGGTCTTAGCTAGTAACAGCAAGCCTTTGGGGCTCTCTCTATCTCTTTCACTTATCTGGTTGTTCTTTACTTTTTCGTAAAGCAGCTGGTGCTTCGCAAGAGCAAACAGAAAGCAGTGAAGATGGGTAGCAAGAACGTTGATGTCGGGGTCTTGCCCACCGATGGAGAGTCACACAGGGACGTAGAGGCGTCGTTGGGAGACCAGATCAATCACGATGGCGACTTCGTTACGAACCTGGAAAACAACAATCTTCAGCGTGGTCTTCGTCAGCGTCACATCCAGATGATAGCTATTGCTGGCGCCATTGGAACCGGGTTGTTTCTGTGAGTCTGAGGAACACAGTCTATGTGCAATGACGAATGCATGGACTAATCATCAACTAGTGGACTGGGAGGCTCAATTCAAACAGGCGGACCACTTGGAGCCCTGTTGGGGTATGCAACAGTTGGACTTGTCGTTTGCGCTGTGCAATTCGCCTTGGGGGAAGTCGCAGCTCTTCTTCCTGTCACTGGATCATTTGTTCGTCACGGTGAATTCCTTGTCGATCCTGCCTTTGGATTTGCAATCGGTCTCAACATTGTCTATGGCAATCTACTATCGGTTCCAGCCGAGATCTCGGCCATTTGCGTGCTGTTCCAGTTCTGGACGGATCTGACTCCAGCGGTCTGGATATGCATCTTTATCTTCCTCACAGTTGCTGTTGGCATTTCCTTTGTCGGCATCTACGGAGAGGTTGAATTCTTCTTCGCATGCTTGAAGATCCTCCTAGTCATTTTTCTCATCATCCTGGGTCTCGTGATCGATCTTGGGGGGATTCCTGGGCAACAAAGAATTGGTTTCCGGTACTGGAAGTCCCCTGGTCCATTTGTCGAGTACATTGCTACTGGTCCGTGGGGTAAATTCCTCGGCTACTGGGCCGTCATGACCAATGCAGTCTTTAGTTTCGCTGGTGTCGAAAGTCTGGCAATGGCTGCAGCTGAAACACAAAACCCACGAAAGAACATTCCCAAAGCTTGTAAGAAGGTCTTCGCCCGAGTGGTCATCTTCTACATCCTCGCAGTTCTCATCGTGGGAATGATCGTTGCAAGCGACGATCCTAGGCTCAACGACTACAGCGGTGACGCAACGACAAGTCCCTTTGTCATCGTTGCTTCTGCAGCTGGACTTAAGGCCATCCCATCTATCGTCAATGCAGTGGTGATAACTTCGGCTTGGTCCTCATCTAATCAAGCACTACTCTCGGGTACACGTGTGCTCTTCGGACTTGCAATCAAAGGCCAAGCTCCAAAGATCTTCTTGAGAACGACGTCATGGGGCGTACCGTACGTCTGCGTGTTGTTCAATACATCTTTCATGTTCCTTGCTTTCATGGCGCTATCAAGTAATGCCATGACGGTGTTTTGGTGGTTGGTTGATCTCACGGCTGCTGGTGTGCTCGTGTCGTGGTCGGCTATCCTCTTCAATCACATTCGCCTGTGCATGGCGATGAGGAAGCAAGGCATTTCGCTCAACGAACTGCCTTTCCACAGTCATTGGACTACATACTCCTCGCCGGCCGCCCTCGTCATGTGCCTGACTATACTATTCACTGGTGGCTTCTCCACCTTTACGAAAGGTAACTGGTCAGCGAGCAGCTTTGTCTCTGCGTACCTGTGAGCCAATTCTCCAGTCTTTGAATTGTATTATCCCATTAATACTAACACTCGATAGCGATATACCACTCGTCCTTGCGGCCTTTCTGCTTTGGAAGTTCATCAAAGGTACAAGTTTTGTATCATTAGCCGAGATACCAATTCGCGAAGCACTCGAGGAGATTCTCAAGAACCCAGAGCCAGTTGAAGCAAAAGCAACAGGTTGGAGAAAGATCCCAGCTTTTCTCTTCGATTGAAAAGCGGGAAGTGACATGGAAAGATATAAGCTCATTATATGTTGCCATTGTTATCCGCTTTACAGTCTCTGTGAATTTGCTCACCTTGACATCCAAGACGTCGCATTCTGGTTTCTTAACTTAATCGCCGTTCCTATGATATAGATCTTCAACGCCTGGTCTTATGCACAGCATCAAGCGGCCGTAGGCTCGAGCGACTACTTAACCGAAGCTCTCGCTAATAAATATACCCTTCATCTCCCAAATTTTTCGCAGCACAAGGTTGCGAAACTGCATGGTCGTCGCCGCCTTGTAATGCTTCTCAGTAGCCAGGACACGAGGAGCATTTACAGATATGTGCGCAATAGATTTGGCAACATTGCATGCTCGTCAAATGTCCGAGGGACTTTATGCGAATGCCTTTGAAGACGTGTCAAAAGTCACAATGTAGCGCGATCTCGCGTCGCCTGAGACCAGCAGCGTTCAACAGCTAGACTGCATCAGTATCATAGTACTGAGTTGCAAAGTTCATGAAAAGATTCATCCTAATAGCAGCATACTGTAATTTAGATAAACAAAGGTTGAGATAATACTGCGAGTAGAGAGGAATGCCAGATGTTAGGACATCGGTCAGTTTGATTGGTTCAAAGACATCGTGCTAATGTAAGATTGGAGATGCCATCGCCGTGATGGCAACGATCGTAATGGTGCAATACATCGAGTTACAGCTTGCATCATGTTTACCATGGGTATTCGTATTATCCATCATGGCAATCAAAAGATACATCCCTGCTGGATAAGATTGTGGCAGGTATATACCACATTCATATCGAATTCTCCTAATAAAGCTTCCACCATGGAACTTGACACAGTGTGGGAGTATTAATGCAATCTTCTATTACATTACTAATAATTAATCTAAAAAGCAAGACGCAGTTATGCAGTCGTGGTCCTCATGTTCAGGTCCTCTTATCTATATACAATCGTCTCTCTCCAGCACAACTCTTCCATGCGTCACCAAGTCCCCAAGGTGGAAAGAACACAAACTTAGTTGTAAGTGTAAACCGGGCTGGAAGGCAGGGTACCAAAGTCACCGCTTCCGAATGGCGCACCAGGAGCAACAGGCTTGCCGTTGACATCGGGGATACCGAACCACGCGAGCTCCTTGCCCTGGTTGACGGTGATAATGGCGAATGGTGGTGCAGGCTCAGTGACGAAGCCCCAGCTGATGTAAGTCTCGGAGTTATATGTGCATCGCTGGCGGTCCCAGCTCTCAGTGGCACCGTTGGGAACTGACATGCGACTGACGGTGCAGCGCTCAGTCTTACCGTTGGCGGTGATGGCGAAGTTGTATTCGCAGCCGGTGTTGTCTTCTGAGCAGTAGCGGGTGAAGTTGGAAATGGTCCAGGTCTTGCCATCGACTTTAACGGGGTTGGAACCAGGGGCAGGGGCGGGAGCAGGAGCTGGAGCGGGAGCGGGAGCGGGAGTTGGAGCAGGAGCGGGAGCGGGAGCTGGAGCTGGAGAATGTTCGTCGACGCAGTCCTCGTCGGCTGGGGGAGTAGGGGCAGGGGTGGGTGTGGGCTGACTGGGAAGGCTGAGGGAGGCGGTAGCAGAGGCGCAGTATTCACGCGCTCGGGCATTGTCCTCTCCCATGCAGGCGTTGAGGTCGCAGTTGCATGCTACTTCCGGGATTCCTTTTCTGAGGCAGTTGTAGTAGGTCTTCCAGCAAGGTTCGTTTGCGTTGACATTGGTTGCTTCGGTCTCTAATCCTCGAGCTTGGGGCTGGATAGCGGCGGCAGAGACCATGCCAGACAAGGCCAAAGCCAAGGCGAGGGTGTTGTAGATCATAGTGGCTTGGCAATTAAGGTTAAAGATCAATATTATGTTGATTGGTGTTGATATTAGATCAAAGTAGAGAAGATGTGGTGGAGGAGATGAGAGTGTGTGTGGATGAGATGGTAGAGGTCTTCCCACGGTTATCTTATATACTTTGCCTACAGGCCACACTACTACTGTGTAAACCTATCCCACTCGGGACCGATGAGTGCTGTTCGGACCATGGTCCGGAGAACCAGCCACCAAGCTTCGTACCCAACCTTGCCAAGCCAGCTCTCCACACTCCCATCTCATGAGGCTCTATGGGATCGGCTGAAGCTCAAACAACATCATTGGCGAGAAAAGCGGTAGCCGACATCATCCGGCCAGTGTATGCGATTTACACAACGAGTCGGTCGTATGATCTACTCATATGACGATGTTGCTGTGTGCCTATACGAGGTTGCGCTGGCTATTTACGAGGATCTTCCATTGATTGCGGCGATGGCTCGGTGCATCTAGTCCGAGTCGGGCCTCCAGCACCATGACTTTTGCCCAAACTGACACCGCCTTACTGTGCTTTGTATGCCTCTGGTGTGGATCAGGGTACAACATGAAAGCTATAACATGCAATTAGTTCGGTGCCAGTACAAAAAGTGACAAGCGTGCAGTCTATCGTGACAGTACCACAGCACTATACTTTTGGAGATCCTCTACCCATCGAACTTTGCCGGCCTCTTCATTAGCCCGCCACCATGATTTTCTATTTTTAGTAAGGATTCGGTGAAGGGTTTCTCTGCCCAACCCCCATCAGTGATCAAGCGAAGCTTATTCTTACGGTGCTACCGATAGCTAGTACGTCGTAGTTCGATTGCGGGGCAGACGGAAGTCCACGGCCAGAAATGAGTGTAGCTCTCGTAGGCTGGCGTTGGTAGGGTAACACTGCGCTTGATGAGGTACCCAAGGCATACTTCCCAAAAAGCTCCCTTTCACATTCTTTCACGGGACGACAGGAATATCCAAATCGATCGTCACAAGGGTCAGAAGGGATTAGAATATGAAGATCTGTTAGGCAATGTCTTGAATTGCCCGAAGCCAAGATGGCAGTATTTCGACTCGGTCTTACTGTGTACAGTCTGACGGGCCCGATGGCTGCGTTGAGCCTGCCTGCCGGTACTCAACACGAGAAACTAGGGCTCACACGTCGACTCTAAATCGGCATTGCAAGGTTTTCTTTGCAATCACGAGTCCCACTCTTTGAAAGCTTTTTGTTTCTGCCTCGAATTCCACTGCAGAGTCCTACTAATGCTATCGATCCAGTCTGTTCTTCTCCTCTCCAGAGGTAATACATTCGGGTACGGAAACCTCGAAGCGCTGATTGTGACATAATCGCCGGGTTTGAGCTCGACACGCTCACGACCGTCAAAGCTCGCCCACGAGCTCGTTCTCGCGTCGTACGGCACACCGGTGCGTAAGACCATCGTGTCAGGCAAAATAATGGGTCGAAATGATAAGGTGTGTGCACAAATGGCTGTCACAAGGATGACGGGGTTGTCTGGATGACAGAGCGAACCACCAGCTGCCAGGTTGTATGCTGTAGAACCGGTAGGCGTAGCGATACAAATGCCATCCGCTTGAACTGTGGTGAAATGCTCATCATCCCCGAAGAGCTCTATGCTCGACATGGTCGGGTTTGGACCTCGGTCTACCACCACCTCATTCAGAATATTGTATGTTCCATCTGGCCTATGCGTATGGTGGTCTTCGCATTCTTCGCCGATCAGCTCTTCGACCAAGTCACGGCCTGTGTGATCTCGTTCCTGGGAGCGCATGAGGGTCGCTTCGAAGCGGAGGCGCAAATTTACGGTGATGCCTTCTTCGAAAGCTCGTGATAGTGTCTGGGGGTATTTTTCGTAGTCGAACTTGGTTAAAAAGCCCAAGGAGCCAAGCGAGAAGGCAAGTGTAGGAGGCACGATGCGCTGGAACAGCCATGATGCGTACAGCACCGTGCCATCACCGCCCAACTGTATCAAGGTCAGCAGATATCGCCCATTGTCATTACCCTGAGAGGGCCATGACTCACTGCAAGTACAACGTCGAAAGTCTCGGGATTCTGAAAACATAGTTCGTTCGTCCAGTACTTCAGTCGCCCGTTGAAGGAAGGGTTCTGTTTGAGAAGAGTTGTGGCATCGAAAATCTTGTTGTCTTCCAGCGTCTGTTCCACGTAGCTGTATACTGTCAGCCCTATCCAAACATTACCACATGCATCAGCATACACGGTGTAGTTGGGATCCTTCATCAAAAGCCACTCAGTGGTCTCGCGCGACTTCTTGATCAAGCTTTCGTCATGCGCCTTGCCGAGTATGAAAATGTTCCGGACGTTCAGCTTCAGTCTGATCTGCGACAGCTTCTTGGACAACTCGCGTATGCCAAATGCCATATCCGAGATCTCCTTCTTGGTCAGCAGTCGCGAATAGTGTGTCTCATCGGCCTGTGCATGCGGGTCCTTGTCGACTCTCCGCTCCTGCGACAGGCCCTCGTACGATGCTGAATGGTCTTTGACGGGCATGCCATCGTGCTTTTCAAGCAGCGAGTGAACGATGCATGACGTTGGCCGCCGACCATTTTCGGGCCGTGTGGTCATATTGACAGAAACTGGTGGTGCGAGGGAGGCTTTGCGACGACGACCACCGTTACCGCCTTCGAAGATGACCTGCAATTGAAGACGATTGAGCGGTTGTCCCGGGCGGGTGAATGTAATGGCCAGGAGACGTACCTCGAGTGTATCATCGTGGCCGCTGGGGTTACTTATGCCTTTGGTGCTTTGAGTTGCGCTCTCAGAAGGGAAAGTTAGCTTGCACGCGTCGCGATGACGTCGAGAGACCAAGCTACCTCTTCCCTCTTGATTGCAGCCCCAAGCAGGTCGTCTAAATAATCCGTAGCCATATTTCCCAAGCGCGTGAATTGACCAAGAAGATAAGAACAGAAAAGAAAAAAAAAGAAAATCGAGATTTCGCACCCAAGACGGAGCTTGCGCCGTTTAGTATTTCGAAAAGTGTGCACAGGTCGATGAAGCAACAACAAGACGTGGTGGATGGGCGCCGCCTCACTACCCCGCATCGTGCCAATCACGACCATTGTTTGCCGATGAGATCAGCAAGCAGCATACTTACTCATCATCTGAGGCCGCCCATAGTCTGCATGAATACTCTACGCTTAAGAGGCAAGACAGCTCTTTCTGTATGAGTCCTGCGACGGGTAATACTACTCATAATGGCACTTCCACGGACTGGAGCACTTCCTCGACAATGTCCTCGACAGTGACATCTTCAAGCACAGCCTTGACGGCTTCCAGCGAACTGCCCCATTGCATGCTTCGCTCATCCTCCGGCGTCGTGATGGCAATGCGATGGGCGTATACTTTACGGGCTGCAAGAGCCACAAGGGACGGATGGACGTATTCGAGACTGTGGAGTGGGGCCAACACACTGCCTAGTGTCAGTTGGGCAATTGGGAGTACTCAATGCAGACTAACTGACTGGGCCAAGGTGTTGAAGTGTCTGGTAGCCATGGCAGAAATACCCCCAGCAACAGCGCGGTGCAGTCTCATGAAGACAACGATATTGTGAAGGTAAGCTCGAACTTCCGAGCTGATCCTGACGCTCGCGGTAAGCTTCGTCAGCTGCGCAAGATCCTTCCAGAGTCAGTATTAGTAGATATCTTGTAGTGCAACTCAAGTACCTCGAGGCTGAACAGTACAGACTGCACTTTCGAAACGGCAGTGTACGTCGACCTGCGCACCACCGACGACGTGGATGCATCGTCTTCAGAAACAAAGCGCTGGTCCTGAAGCTCTTCTAGGTTCGGTAGTCCATCTTGCGCCTGGTGCTTGTGAGAGATGAAGAACGCATCATTCTAAATTCCTCCCATCAGTTATTTTCGCAGATTCTCGTCATTCATCATACCAAATGCTCGGTCAAGCGCTGTGTTCTGCTAACACTCAACGAGACAAGTAAAAACGGCCGAGGTGCAGCGTGGACAGCTGTCCTGGTAAAATTACGCTTTCCCCGGATCAGCTTTATCGCAATTAGCATAAAGTCCAGATAATTGGGAATAGGTTGGGTACCTCCAGGGCTTGTACTTGGACTTCAGGGCTTGCTTGGTTCAGGTTCTTGCAAATGACAACATTCGCAATTCGTCGGCTGTCTAATGGACGAAGCATGGCAGGAGATTTAGACAGTCGTCGATCAGACATTTCTGGTGTTCCCGGTGGAGACGAAAAGTGGTTGTTGTTCCTGTTTCGATCCTTGTAGTGCGTGTCGCCCTCATCCTTGACCAAGATACCGCTGCCAAAATCATCAAGCGATGTATGATAATCACAGCTCAATGTGGCCCACGTGAGCCCAAATGCATTTGACGCAACCTATGCATATCAATCGAGATGTTTAAAAGAAATCCTCTCCTTGACTCACCAACTTCAGTTCTTCTTCAACGTCATCAATTAGCTCCTGCTCCGCCTCGATGATACAGTGTTGTTCAGCGATTAGACAAATCAACGTGGCGAGCTCGAGATCGCCAAGCAGTTCCACCTTATCTTCAATCGCCGTGTGTTCCTGTGAGGACATGATTTCGGAAAGGTCGTTGTATTAGTCTCACAACATGTTGCTGTTCAACGTTTGCTGGCTCTGTTGCAGAGTGAACCGTGAGAACGCGTCTGAACAAGGCTAGTGACGATCAACCAGCGTGCGCACGAGCCATGAACGCGACTCCTTCACAGTAACAGTCACTCTTGTCTGATCAGACAAACCTGATGTCCATATTTGCACACTTCATACTCGCCGTAAACAGGATCACGAGATTAGCATGGATGAAGTTTCAATATGTCTCCCCAAACTCAATTACACTATGTGCCTAATTCCAGCTACCTACTCCGTGTGGGGATCCGGCCTGCGACACCATTGACGTTGGCATACCAAACTACGACTACGCAGTACATACCTACATGACGCCAACTAAACGATGGATCAATTCCGCTCCATCATGTCCACTTCCCCACGTTCAGTGAATCCCACAATCGAATCGAATTTCTCCCAAGAAAATCCTCCCATCCAAAATGTCAACCCAAAACCCAGCAACAACAACAACAACAACGACAACAACAATCCCCCAAACCATGAAAGCATGGCAATGGACAATCTGCCCCACAACCCTCGAGGCTGCCCTCCATCTCAACACTTCAACCCCTTTACCAACATCCGCCCGCGCCCTCGCACCAGGAGAATCCCTCATACGCATCCACTTTGCCACCCTAAACCCCATCGACTACAAAATCGCCGAACTGCCGATTGTAGGCCGCCTGGCGCTCCCCAAGCCCGCAACCCCCGGTTTGGACTTTTCAGGCGAAGTCGTCGACGTTGGGCCCGACAGCAGTGTCGAGATTGGGCAGCGCGTGTTTGGCAAATTGGAGCCGAAGCAGCAGTTTGGCACGCTGGGCGAGTATGTGGTTGGGTCGAGGGAGGGCACTGTGCCTATGCCTAAGGGTGTTTCCATGGTGGATGCGGCGACGTTGGGTGTGTGCGGGTTGGTGACGTATCAGAGTCTTGTGCCGCGGGTGAAGGCTGGTGATCGCGTGTTGATCAATGGTGGTTCGGGGGGAACAGGCACGTTCGCGATACAGATTGCAAAGGCATTGGGGTGTTGGGTCACGACGACTTGCTCGGGGGCAAACGTGCAGCTGTGTAGGGATTTAGGGGCGGATGAGGTTGTGGACTATCGCAAAGAGGATATATCTTCAGTGTTAGGAAGAAAGGAGTACAAGTTCGATTTGACACTAGACAATGTGGGCCTGCCGCTAGATTTGTATTGGAATTCTCCAGACTTCACCAAGCCTGGTGCGAAGTACACTCAGATTGGATCTCAGGTCAGCGTGCCGTTTCTATATGATCTCGCCTTTCGTTTCTTAGTCCCGGCCTGGTTGGGCGGAGGACAGAGGCCGTTTACGTTTGGATTAGCATCCACCAATCGCGAGGACTTGGCCAATCTGGGGGGTTTCATTCGGACTGGCGAGGTCAAGCCAGTGATTGGCGAGGTCATGGAGTTTGGAGAGGTGAAGAGAGGGTACGAGAAGTTAAGGACTGGGCGATCAAAAGGGAAGATCGTTGTAAGGGTGTATGGTGGAGAACGACATGTCTAGAGCTAGAGCTTTTCACGAAACTATGCAGAGCGTCGAGATGCCATCTCCCGACTTTTGTAGTTGTTAGTTTGGACCTTCTGGGAGACGCCAATTACCCATGTTCAACCACAACAGCATTCTAATAACATCCTTATTTTCCGACTATCCGACATCTGCATGTTAATCCAATGCGCAGGAATTTTTCCCATTCCAAGCCGAGCATCTCCGAAAGCAACTGGAATGCAGCAGATTCCTGACTACTCGCAACCTCAGTCATCTATTGCAAGTCTGCCTTGTCGCCTAGCCTAGGAAATTCTACAGCAAGCCAGGAAGTGAGAACAAAGTATACAATGTCACGTTCGCATTTAGATCAAACCTCGCAACTTCGCACAATTCTCACAGCACCTCATGAAGCAACTACCTACCAGCTCCAGCCGCTCAACACAAGATGGTAACCGCAAAGCAGCAGATGCCAGCTGTAGCTTCAATGCTGGAGTACTGCAAATTTACCTGTTTCGGGAATGGGTTTGCTCACGTCCTTGGGTTTGGGGCGGCAGCATGGCAGAAGGCTGACTACATCTTGGGTCCAGTTCACAAGGTAAAGTTACAAGATCAGCACGATCGTTAGAACAACGAGATCGACTAAAATGGCAAGTTCTTTATTGTGAAAGCAGGAAAAGTGTGTTGCATGAATACAATTTCATCTTGAATTTCGGTCATAGTCTCTATCCGCCAAGGGTAAAAGCTCGTAATGAGGAGACTCAAACTCTACTTCAATCTTCATACAAAAGTAACTGGTTGTTCAGCCACTCGTTCGCATCAACTAATGGATAACCGTAACTCATTCGTCATCAACCACATCCAACAAGCCGGGCACACTAATCGGCAACTGGATGCCCGCCAAGAGACTCAAGAATCCAATGGGGTAAGGCACAATATGGCGCCCAATATGCAATCCATCCGCCAACAGGGCCGCAAAGGTCCTGTTATCGAGGAACCCGGACAGCGTGCCTTGCTTAGGCGAAAGGAAGGCGTTGTTGATTTGCACAATGCCGGAGCTGTAGAAGGAGTAGGTGTAGACGTTGTCGGCAACGGTTCCTGTGGCTAGCACGCTTGCGCGTAGGGTTATTAGAGGTTTCGATGTGGTCGTGGGGAAGACTGGCGTCGGGGGTCTGATTGTGGTTGTTGGGGGTTTGATTGTGGTTGTGGGGACGGTGAGTCCAGGGAGTCCTGGAAGGCCTGGAAGAATTGGCGCTGTGGGTAGAATATTTGGGAGTCCCGAAATGACTGGCGCTGTTGGGAGAGGTAGAATCGGCGCTGTGGGTAGAATGTTGGGGAGGCCTGGGAGTATTGGGCCAGTTGGGAGGGGTAGAATCGGCGCAGTAGGGAGAATGTTCGTGAGAGCTGAAATGACCGGCGCAGTTGGGAGGGGTAGAATCGGCGCTGTGGGTAGAATGTTGGGGAGGCCTGGGAGTATTGGGCCAGTTGGGAGGGGTAGAATCGGCGCTGTGGGTAGAATGTTGGGGAGGCCTGGGAGTATTGGGCCAGTTGGGAGGGGTAGATTCGGCGCAGTAGGTAGAATGTTGGGGAGACCTGGGAGAATTGGCGCAGTGGGAAGAATACTAGGGATGCCTATGAGAGTCGGTTGGTCAGTACATTATTTTCAGATTGAAAGACACGGAGAGCAAAGCAAAGTGTATTGGGAAGGGTTAAATGTACCTGTGGGAAGAGCGCTGGGAAGCAAGCCCGTGAGACCGAGGCCACTGACTAAAGAGGGGATAACGCCAGGCAGGGCCGAGAGGATTCCCTCGACCGGGTTCAAATCAGGAGGCGGTAGTATGTTAGGTAGACTAGGAAGGTTGCTGGGAAACGCTGTAGGTAAAGTGATTGGAGGACCGGTCGGTACACCAGAGAGGATGCCAGGCAAGAGATCTGTAGGAATGGCTGAGATAACTCCTGGAAGTAAGTCTGTGGGGAGCTGCGAAGGTAGTGCTGATATCACACCAGGCAGCAGATTCGTAGGCAATGCGGACAGGACCCCAGGTACCAGGTCTGTAGGCAATGCGGAAAGTATCTCGGGCACTATATTAGTGGGGAGGGCTGTAGGTAATGCAGAGAGAATTTCAGGCACCAGATCAGTTGGTATAGCTGAAAGAATTTCGGGAATCAAGTCCGTGGGTAGAGCAGATAGTATCTCGGTAGGTAGGGCGGTTGGCAGACCAGAGAGAATCTCAGGAATCAAATCAGTGGGTAGCGCAGATAGGATTTCTGTAGGGAGAGCTGTTGGTAGACCTGAGAGAATCTCAGGAATCAAGTCTGTGGGTAGAGCTGTGGCTAGACCAGACAGGACTTCAGGAATCAAGTCCGTCGGTAGAGCAGATAGTATCTCGGTAGGTAGGGCGGTTGGCAGACCAGAGAGAATCTCGGGAATCAAATCAGTGGGTAGAGCTGTGGCTAGACCAGACAGGACTTCAGGAATCAAGTCCGTCGGTAGAGCAGATAGTATCTCGGTAGGTAGGGCGGTTGGCAGACCAGAGAGAATCTCAGGAATCAAATCAGTGGGTAGCGCAGATAGGATTTCTGTAGGGAGAGCTGTTGGTAGACCTGAGAGAATCTCAGGAATCAAGTCCGTGGGTAGAGCTGTGGCTAGACCAGACAGGACTTCAGGAATCAAGTCCGTCGGTAGAGCAGATAGTATCTCGGTAGGTAGGGCGGTTGGCAGACCAGAGAGAATCTCGGGAATCAAATCAGTGGGTAGCGCAGATAGGATTTCTGTAGGGAGAGCTGTTGGTAGACCTGAGAGAATTTCCGGCACTAGATCAGTTGGTAGAGCAGAAAGGACTCCAGGCAGCAGATCTGTAGGTATCGCCGAAAGAATCTCGGGCACGATGTTGGTAGGGAGGGGGACATCCGTGGGTAGACCAGAGAGAATTCCAGGTATCAGGTCTGTGGGTAACGCTGACAGGAGCTCTGTGGGGAGAGCCGTTGGTAGACCTGAAAGGATTTCAGGGATAAGATCCGTTGGGAGAGCGGAAAGAATTTCCGTTGGGAGAGCTGTTGGTAGACCAGAGAGGATTTCAGGGATCAGATCCGTGGGTAAAACGGATAGAATTTCAGTGGGGAGGGCTGTTGGCAGAGCGGAAAGGATTCCAGGCACTAGATCGGTTGGTAGACCGGAGAGGATCTCAGGCACCAAATTTGTAGGCAGAGGGAAAGCAGTGGGCAATGGCAGCTGAGACAAAATATTCGTTGGTAGGGGTATAGGTATCCCACTGACCAGATCCACTGTGGGAAGACCAGTAGGTAGTCCGCCAGGGATCTGAGGTCCTAGAGATTGTATCAAGTCCCTAAGCTGGTTGTTTACGGCGTCGGCTTGTTGTTGAACTTCAGGTGGGATGAAGTTGGCAAGTCTGCGGATCGCAGGGCACAGATTACAGGTGTCGACCAGGCCGCTGCCAGGGTCTTGACGTTCGACTAACCGGGCGGCGGGTGCGATGGGTTCGTGTTGGAAGCCATGCTTCTGTGCAGGGAAGGCATGGGTAGAGGGGAGGGCGAGGAGGAAGAGGAGGGCGGGGGAGAGGGGAGAAGACAGCATGGTGACGGTAGGGGAGGTTAGACACAGTCGGCAGCCTCGTGAGAGAAAGGCTAGCGATGGCGGTTATAGCTGCGTTGCTGTTGCTGCGTCAGCACTGATTAGGTTGCAGGATTCATATACGAGAGCTGATGGCTGCAAAGAGATGTTTACCATTTCTCATCTCGGAGGAAGCCGCTGGAGGAAGACGAGAGGGCATTCTTGCGGTTGTGATCTCAATGTACGGAGGAGTATCCACTGAGCTCCTGCTCATTTGGTTTTGGTATGTTGTAGTGAGCTTGTTAGACTGCCAGGACCTCATTCCGGTGGTACCACCAAGATTCCACACACATGGTAAGCAGTGAGGGTGCCACTCCTTCGGCTCCTTGTGCTGCAATGTTCTGTACTCAATCTGTCTTTGATAGATCGTAGGGAGGAAGCCTATGTTCAGACTTAGTCATGCGCAACAAGCAATTCCATCCTCAGTAACCTCGAGGTTGAACCTGAACATTGCGCAGAACCCCCACTCGTTCCTTCTGTGCTGCACGAGCACAATCTCGACCTGGACCAGACCGAGCGTCTGACCAAGTGAGGCAAAGCGTCCTGAAACCAAAAGCTGGAGCATTTATTGTTCCGGCGGCGAGTGTCATACTGCTGGTCGGATAGGTATTTCCGAACAAGGCCGTTAGTCGCTGCAATGTAGTGCAGCAAACGGGATTATGCAGGGGCAAAATGATGAGGTACTGCACATTTCTGTCAGGTCTTCCGCCGGATTACACTGTGAAGATAGCAGAGATTGCAAATAAGTTGCCCAATAATATGTTACAGGCAGACAATACGATTCTTGAGGCTCAAATATTGGACACGACGCAACGCAAAAGGAATCTTATGCTGATGTTTGGCGAGAGGTTGCAGGAGATATGTGGATGTCGTCGCGGAGGCTGTCATGGAGACTAGAGCGAAGATGGCATGAATGAAAAGGCAATCAAGAGATGACAAAGAGAACAAAGTCTGATTGTGTGCCATGGAAGAGAATGGAACGAAGACAGTAGTGAGTATGTGGGATGGAGGTTGCGATGACAGAACATTGGAGTTACGGCCTCTTGCTGAGATTTGACGCCCATGAAACGGATATTGAGAATAGACGTCAGTGAAAGAAACAAGCACCGTTGTGAGCGGACATGAGGAGTACTTGACCGTCTTGGGTCGAGAGTTGCCATCTGCATGCTGAAGCACGGGAAGGGTCCAATGTAGGTCCCGAGAAGTGTATTCACAGGTATTCACCACCCCGTACCTGTTCCATCTAGGAAACGGATGGAGCCTTATCAGCCAGCGTTGTTTTGGCCATGTTGGCTCGCGTGAAGGATGAGATGGAGGACATGGTGTTGGTTGTCTTGTGTCTTGGTGTTGGCTTGGCCATGGCAGGTCGAAAGAGAGTTGTGCTCCCCTCTATCAATGTCAGTTGACTGGAACTGGAGTCGGGTCAGGTGGTCAGGTGACCAAGGTGGACGCGAATGGTCCAAGCTCCAGAGACCATTCCAGGTCGAGGTTAGCGGCGAGGCGAGGCTGCATGGGTGACAAGCTCTCGTCGACATCATGGACAATGCAAGCTGTGGACTTGCCAACAGCACATCTCCACCAGCTCACTACACCGTCTACGCCGTCCCCCGATTCCCAGACCAGAGCAGCCTACATAGACGCTCGTTGAGAAATTCGACGTGTGATCTTCGGCGCATCGCAACCCAGAATTCTGCTGTCCTAACGTTGCCTTGAACAACCACGCTGGACACTCATCCGAGCCATTGCTTGAGCTTGGCTAGCTACAGCGCATAGGTGCCTCGCCCCACGCCTCACAGATAAAATCGATACAAAATATGGCGTCAAGGAAGAAGGTCCTCCTCAAGGTACATGTTCTTTGTATAAGAGGTCCAGCTACACGTATCTAACGGTGGGCAGGTCATCATCCTTGGGGACAGTGGGGTAGGCAAGACGAGCTTGATGAACCAATATGTACGCTGCACCATGCATGCGCAACCCTTTTGGAAACTCCGCTCATAGCCATTCACTAGGTCAACAAAAAGTTCAGCGCCAGTTACAAGGCTACCATCGGCGCCGACTTCCTGACCAAAGAGGTCCTCGTCGATGACAGGCTGGTGACGATGCAGGTCAGTCACGACCAATTTATCCTACTAGCCCCGCCAGCTCACATAGGATAGCTCTGGGACACGGCCGGCCAAGAACGCTTCCAATCACTCGGTGTGGCCTTCTACCGCGGCGCCGACTGTTGCGTGCTCGTCTATGATGTCAACAACTCCAAAAGCTTCGATACACTGGACAGTTGGAGGGACGAATTCCTGGTGCAGGCTAGCCCCATGGATCCCGAGAGTTTTCCATTTGTATGTGGATCTTCGGTGACCGGTGAGGGCAATCGCTGACGAGAACAGGTCGTGATTGGCAACAAGATCGATGTCGAAGAGAGCAAACGAATGGTGAGCGCTAGAAGCACATGGTTCGACGGTCGACCAAAACTAATACAGTGACAAGATCTCATCAAAGCGCGCAATGACATTTTGCCAATCAAAAGGCGGTATTCCGTACTTTGAGACGAGCGCAAAGGAGGCAATCAACGTCGAGGACGCTTTCGAGGGTATTGACTACATGCCTGCCCTTCAACAACGCACGCTAATCATGATGCAGTCATCGCAAGACAAGCGCTCGCACAAGAAGATGTCGGCGACTTTGGCAACGACTTCCCCGAGACAATCCCCATCGACCTGAAGGGCAACGAGGGCGGTTGCGCATGCTAGTGTATACCATGCCACATTACAAGCGTTGGCTATACGCGCTTCTCGGGTTGTGGGCCTTTGACGTATCTTGGAAGTTTGGCATGGAGTTACTGGTGTTTTATCTTCTTGCTCGATTGTAGTAACTGGTCGTCGAGGGGTGTTCATGGGCTGTAATCCATTACATTACATTACATACGGGCAAGACATATCGCTGTCGGTTTCATCGAGCTGGCTGCCAATAGAAACAGAATACACGAAATAAATACTTGTTGGTTTACAAGATGGCGGATGTAAAATGCAGGAGGCACTGTGTATATGTGTACCTATTGGTACCTACCAGACGATGCGCGCCTCTTGAACGGTTATCCGGTAGCCGTGCATGCATGCCATCATGACGAGGGCGGGCAACTGAGATGGTGTAAGTGGCGGGTGCACGCAGCTCGGCAAGACTGCTGACATGCCGGCTCAGTTGTCTTGGAAGTTAGATATTCGGCCGCCATTGCGCCACTGTGAGACGTGCAACGAAACAAAACCCTGGTCCTAATAAACACACACATTCTCTCGCCCTCTCTCCTCCACCCGACCTCACTTCTCATCTTTGCGACCTTGCTCTCGTTGCGCCTCGTCGCTTCATCCCATCCATCCGCGGACCGCCCATCTGGTTTCATGGGCGCATTCTCCCACCCATCTCATGCCTCCACCATCCGCCCTGCGCCTCTAACTCCGTGTACCCCCGACCACTGCGTATATCCACCTTGATCACTGGCCTGGAATAGTAATCACCCACTCTCTCACACGCGCGCGCAAATAAGCACAAGGCCCTGCACGCCCTGCACACATTTCCTCGCTCCCACATCCACGGCTAAACGAATCACCATGATCCCCCACCGCGAAGAAGAGATAGCGCCGCTCTCTCCCCGCCTCAGCAACGTCACGGATGATAGCGAATTCATGCGCGAAGACGACTACTTGGCGAGTCCAAGTTCTAGTGGGGGGACTAGTGTGTGGGAGGATGGCAAGGAGAGGGGCTTTCTCGAGAGATTGGGATGGGGTGGAAGGGCGGGGAGGGAGGGCGGACGGTTTGGCTTGGGAGGCAGAAGAGGAGACGGAGACGGCGGAATGGCGGGAATAGGGGGCATAGGGGGAGTAAAAGGAGGACTGAGACATGCAATCGGCATTGCCCTCTTACTCGTCACGGTGTTTTTGTGGACGGCAAGTAACTTCTTGGCCAGTGTATGTCTCTCCTCCCCAAGCATTCCCTACCTACTCCAGTGCAAGTGACTGAAGAACCTGACCTCCTGACCGCTAACGAACAACACCATGAGCAGACCATCTTCGCAGACGACTCGTACTCGAAACCGTACTTTGTGACCTACATCAACACCACATTCTTCATCTTCCCCATCTTCCCCATGATCGCACACTATCTCTGGGCCGACCGGCACAAAACCTCAGACACACCCCGCCCCCTCGCCCTCCGCCTCCGCGACCTGCTGGACCAACGCGCAGGCAAATGGGCTCTACTCCGCGACCACGAAGCGCCCTCGTCCACCTCGGACGACGATGCCCTCACCATCCGCGAAACCGGTACGCTCGCCCTCGAATTCTGCACCCTCTGGTTCCTCGCAAACTACTTTTCCTCGGCCTGCCTCTCCCACACCACCGTCGCATCCAGCACCATCCTCTCCTCCACCTCCTCCATCTGGACCCTGCTACTCGGCTCCCTCTTTCACGTCGAACGCATCACGCTGCGCAAATGTCTCGGTGTCCTCGCCTCCCTCTCCGGCGTCGCCCTCATCTCCCTACTCGACATGTCCACCGACTCCCCCGTCGACAACAACTCGGCAACCCCGCAACGCAGCGCCTTTCCCGACAAATCCCCACGCGAACTCGCCACGGGCGACGCAATGGCCCTCATCTCCGCCCTCGCCTACGGCTTCTACACTGTTTTCATCAAACGTCGCATCTCGCACGAATCCCGCACCAACATGCCCCTCTTCTTCTTCTTCGTCGGCCTCTTCAACACCCTGCTCCTCTGGCCGGGCCTCATTCTCCTGCACGTCCTCGACATCGAGCCCTTTGCCCTACCCCCGACATCCCGCATCTTCACCATCGTCATGGTCAATAGCGCCAGTTCGCTCGTGAGCGACTTCTGCTGGGCCTACAGCATGCTGTTGACGAGTCCGCTCGTGGTCACGGTAGGTCTCAGTCTGACGATCCCCTTGAGTTTGGTCGGCCAGATGGTGGTGCAGGGCGTGTATGCGCAGTGGGGGTATTGGGTTGGCGCTGCGGTGGTGGTCGGCAGCTTTTTGTTCATCAACAGGGAAGAGAAGAAGGAGGAGGAAGAAGGGGGTGGGCTAGCAGGCGGAGGGTTCGAGAGGCTGAGCGGGGGGGACCGCGACGAGGGAGCGTAGTTTGTGCTACGTTTTGTGTCTGTGTGCTTTGAGATGGAATGGTCTCCTATGGCGTTTTTCTTTTACATGGAAATCTCCCTTTTACCGCTTTCACGCGTATTCGCGTACCTAGGTCAAGCATGGACAACGGCGTTTTTCCTCCCTCTGTTTATTTTCTTCGGGTTCACATACTCTGAGATCTAGAAATGAATTATAATCACCAATCCAAGCAAAGTCAAGATGGGATCTGTTAGCCTGCCTCTTGTCTATCCAAACCCTCTTGTAACTCTTTATACATCTATACATTTATACATCAATAAAATCGCTCTGACTAAGCCCACATGGCTATATGATACAACATGCCTTGCTCTACTTAACTAATCACATTTCACCAAAACAACAGACAATACGCCCAACAAGACAAAAACTATAAAACTCAACCAGCAGATCATACAAAACTATGGTAGAAAAAATAGCAATATCCACAATCCCCTAAGCTCGTATCACTTCATATTCTCCCATGACAGAAGTTATCTCAACTTACACACCACACCAAATAGGAATATACCATACTCATCTACTAACGACAAAGTTCCGGTTTCAAAGTGCCGCGAGAACAACAACTCCATCTCCATTTCCCGGCCAGATAATTGGGAGAAATCTGGGGATTTTGTGTGTGGGCAGAGAAAGTCTTTTTTCAGGCTTGTCCTACTTCTTCTCCAGCGTGTCTTTGTGGTGTGTGGTGTGTGGTGTATATTATTTCTTCGCAGTGAGAATTTGAGTCTGAAATCAGAAATCCGGCGTAATTGCAGTTTTGAATCTCATTCTAAATCTGACAACGATCACAATCACTATTACACCCTCCCTACTACACGAGAAAAACGCGATGTCATGTCTAGTCATGTCTAGTCATGTCTAGAGATATTATATTGCATGTGCTGGTTTCTAATAAATTTGTTCTTTGCGATAGATTCCTTTTTTATAATTTCTCTGACCGGGTTTGTGTACGAGGAGCATTGAAACAGGGTTTGGACTTGGTTTTTGATTCAGGTTTTATATTTAGTGCTTGGATATATATATATATAAATAAATATTTGATTTGGTTTCGTGGTTGAGGCTTTCGGTTTGATGGCTTTTTTTCATCGCATTTCAGCATGATTGAGGCTTGTTTTCATTTCTCATGATTCCTCCTACCTCTCACTGAGAGTGCAAGATTCTCGACATGACCTTTGAATAACCTCAGGTGACTATCCCCCCCCGCCATCCATTTTCTTACTATACCCATTTCCCTTTGCATTCCAGCCCCCGTTTCCCTTTCCCTTGCCCTTCCATCCTCCTCCTCCACCACCACCACCCCTATAACTCCTCTCCCTATCCCTATCCTTCCTCTCCTCCCAACTCTCCTCGCCCTCTAATTCGTCTACCTCCCACCCCTCGCTCTGCATAAACCCCTCCAACATATCCCTAACCTTGGGCTCCCAGACATGCTCCCCAGCATCTAGGTCCGCGTATTCGAGGACTGGGAGTGGTGGGGTGGTTGAGGGGTCAGGGGGAGTAATGCCAGGGAGACAATAGGCGCCTTGGCGGGTGCGGATGAGAGAGGACATTAGGGCGAGGGAGTTGCAGGCTAGACCGAGGTCGTGGCAGAGAGAGCGGACGTAGAAGCCCGAGGTTACGGTCATGCGGAGGCGGGCGGCGGGGGCTTGTGGTTGGGAGGGTGGAGCTTGTGGGGTGTCGGATGTTGCTGACTCTGTTGCTGTTGTTGTGGCCGTGATGTCGGTGTTGGTGTTGGTATCTTGGGCTTCGGGCAGCGCGCCGCTCATGGCGGGTTCGCTGTCTGTTCGTGGCCGTTTGGGCTGCTCGCCTGCATTCTCGACGTGGTCACTCTCCGTCTGGGGACTGCGCGAGCGCTTGCGACTTCGTCTTGCCGCAATATCTGTATATGTGTCCATGTCTTGCTTTCTGATTCCCAGTAATTTCTTTGCGCCCGCCATTTGTTCACCGTCAACCTCTTCCTCGGGCCACTTGAAGTCGTGACTGCCCGGCTCCAGCCACTCAACCAACTCCATCTCCAAGACCTCGACCGGCCGTGCAGCAACTTCGGGTATAGCGCCGCCTTCTCGTGCATACTCGTACATCTTCTTGCCATCCACCTTGAGTGCGGAGAAGACGCTCGGCTTCTGCATGATCTTGCCCCGAAACTGGCCCAACTTGTCTTCCACCAATTGCCTTGTCACATGCGCATATTCTGCCTTTCCAACAACCTTCCCAACGGCATCATACGTGTCCGTCGCTGCGCCAAACAAGACGGTGCATTCATACGTCTTGGTGCATTCGAGGAATCGCTGTAGACACTTTGTGCCCTTGCCTACGCCGACGATCAAGACTCCCGTGGCCATGGGATCAAGGGTGCCGCCGTGACCGAGCTTTACTTTGAGGTTGGAAATGTGTCTGGGGCGGGCGTTGGAGAGGTACATGGCCCGACGCTGGGATTCGAGCCATGGGTGGAAGAGAGGGGAGGTTGAGAAGTGGGTTTGGAGATCGCGAAGGACGCCAGCCGAGGAGGCCAGAGGAGGTTTATTTATCGCTGGCAAAAGTCAATGGTTGGGACAAGGGTGAAAGTGCATGGCAACTGGAATTAGGATATCATATGGGAAGGCAGAGAAGCGCGTACCGAAGATACCCTCGACTATTTTCTTGTTTTGCGGGGCAGCAGAAGAGGCCATGATGGATCGTTTTAGGGCCGAAACGACTGACATGGGGTGGGCGGGTGAAGGTGTAGGTACGGTAGCTATACCTACATAGTGGTTGCCTATGTAAACAGTAGCCAGGTATGGCTATAGCTCGGTGAAGTGAAGGATTGATTTCGTTTGCCGACGCCCGTTCCGAGAGAATACGCCATGCCAAGGCGGGAGCTAAGATTGTGCCTGCCAAGCAAGCCCCCCGCCACGCTTGCACGTGTTCGCTGTAGCCTGTAAACTATCTCTTGTCCTCTACTTTCGACGTTTCATAAACACAGACACAAAACACGCTCACCAAGTTTGTCTCCTCGCACGCGCATCCTTCACCCTCACCAGCTACACATCTCCAGACGAACTGCTCGGATCGTCTACGCGACAACACTATCAGCGCCACGCGCGCCCCCCACTCACCATCATGTCAAATAGCGACAAAGACCTGGCCGACCTGGCAAAGTCCACGACCGACGACTTGTACGAATTACTCGGCGTAACCCACGACTCCTCAGAACAAGATATCAAAAAAGCCTACCGCAAAGCCTCGATCAAATACCATCCCGACAAAAATCCCGACAACAAAGATGCTGCCGACCGTTTCATCTACCTCGGCTGGGCGCGCGACATCCTCATGTCGCCAGAGCTCAAGGGCGAATATGACCGGGCACGAACACGGCGGCGAGAGAAGACGCTGCAGGATGAGTTACTCGATGGGCGGAGGAGGAAAATGAAGGACGATCTGGAGAGGAGGGAAAGGGAGGGTAGGGAGTGGATGGGGGGGTTGAAGAGGAAGAGGGCTGAGGAGATGAGCGAGAATGAGAAGAGGGAAGAGGAAGTCAGACGGTTGGCCGAGGATGGGAAGAGGAGGAGAAAGGAGGCCCAGGAGCGGATTTTACGGCGAAGGAGAGAGGAGGAAGAGGCGAGTGTCGTTGACCTAGAAGACACGACCACACCAGCGCAGCCCGTCAGACCTGGCCAGTCTCCTGAAATCCATCGCACAATCAAAGTTCGCTTCCAAAGAGAGGGGGACGCGCTAAACTGGGACAAGGATATACTGCGAACCACATTCAGTCAATACGGCAAGATCGACAGTGTAGTCATGGGCAAAGACAAGAAGATTCGACAGTCAGGGTCGAAACACAGATCTCTCATCGCAACCGCCTTCATCATATACACCCGCATCGACCACGCCCACGCCGCCGTCCTCGATGCAAAATCAGATCATCCACTCCTCGAATCCGTAGCCTGGGCAAATGGCGAACCAGATTTATCGTCTTCCACCACTTCCTACCCGCCCTCCGCCACCGCACAACAACCCCAACAACCCCCAAAATCCACTACCACAACACCACACGAAACGCCCCTCTCGACACCAAACCGCCCTTCCTTTCGCTCCTCAATCAATCTAGGTGGTGCGGGAAAACCGCCAGCCTTTGCACCCAGCTCAACAACGCCCCTCGGTACACCCAAATTCTCTTTCAGTCCCAAGACGCCTAGTCTAGAGGAAGTGACTATGATGCGGCTCAAACAGGCAGAGAAGAAGAGGTTAGAAGAGCAGATTAGAAGAGAGGAGGCCGTGCAGGGCGGGGGCTTATAGGGGACAGGGTATTGGCTGGTAATACGTCGGTATGAACGAGGAATGTGTCTTTTTGCCCAGGCGGTTCCTTGCTAGGATTGTAATTACATACTAATACTTCAGGCTGCTTTATTTGCAGTGTGTCGATACCTTTGAGAGAGCGTGGACATTCCTTCTGATACGGAATGGTCAGCCAATGACATCACTCTTATTATCGCGACGCGTCTTCGCCTGCGTACTGGTATCTTGAACACCCTCATGTCTCGCATCAACGCGTTATCATAACAACCATCCTCTTTTTCCGTACCACCCAATCCAAGCTCATGGTCTCGTAAAATCGTAAAACATCCCCACCATCACGGGACACTATCAAGGACTCGCATATAGACACTTGCTTACGTTCACCACCTCCTCAGCTCAGAGCCTTTGTCCAGCTCCTCATACGAGTTTCGAGGTCCCATGACATCCTCAATAACCTCATCGGTAAACTTCAAATCCTCCTCAGGAGGCACCGTGTCCTTAATCTTGAGCAACATGACCGGAAGCGCAATCAGCAAGCTACCCGCCAGCAGTATCCAGCACGAGGCAAACAAATTCATATACGAGATCTTGTAGTCGTCCAACCTCCACATTACGGCCGCACCGGCCGATTGGATGCCTTTGTAGAAGCCTGCAAAGTTGGCCAGCTTGCGACTGTTGTTGCTGATGGCGCCCATGAACCTGTTGACTTGTCAGCTGGATAATGGCCATGAATTGGAGAGCTGCTGACAGACCAGTACACACACGTCTGCCATGCTGCGTCGTAGAAGCCATAGGCGATGTACAAGAACATGGGGCCAGCATAGCCCTCGGAAGTCCAGTCGTAGAGCTCAGTGATGTTGTCGCGACTGTACGTTTTCTGAAACACGTAACCACCTCCCCAGACGGCAAAAGTCAGTACAAACATGGCAAGCCATGCAACCTTTGCCCGGTTCGTCCGCCTGATATTCGGAAAGTCGAGGGCAAAGCCAGACACAAACGCACCCAGGATCTGCGCGAGCCAGTACAGCGTGCCGTTAAGCGCGCGTGTCCGAATGTTGAAGCGCGCCTTGTTAACGTCCTGGAACTGGTAGGTGTAGAACCAATTCGAGGCGAAGAACATAGGGAAGAGCAGGATGATGTAGGAATCACTGCGCAGTGTCTCCCATAACCCCAGAATCTCCGATTTCCACGTCGGATGCTTCATGAGGATGATGCGGGATCCGTCGCGGCGCACAACCCGTCGAGCATCGACCAATGTCCAGGCCAGACAGGCGCCCAGTAACGTTAACACCAGAAAAGTGGCATATGTAGCATCGCTAATCGCCCCTTGGAACTTCGCATCGTTACTGCCCAAATCAACCTCCTTCTTGTCAAAATTCAAGCCCAGGCCAATCTACCACACGAGCAAATGTCAGTCCTAGTTCTCATGTCCAGAAAAAGCCCCTGGCCCAATCATCCATCCAATCCAACCAACCCAGAGAGAAAAGAAAGAAAACGTACCAGACTCCCAATCACTGCGCCCATATTAAACACGACCCAAAACCCCGAAATATACCTCCCCTTCTCCTCCTCCCTCGGATACGCCATCACAATCGCCCCCTGCGCCGCCCACAACACCCCGGCACAGCAGCCCAGCAGCGTGCCCGCAAACACCACATACACGAGACTCTCCGTCTTGCTAAAGCACAAAAAAGCACTGACGTAGACGCAGTAGCCCACACCGCCAAAGGCCAGCGAGGCCCGGATGCCGAGCGTGTTGGTCACCGTGCCGGCGAAGAAGCCGACGAGGGAGAAGGTGGCGTAGAGGGCGGTGTTGGATGCGTTGCTGGCGCGGGGATCGAATTGGCCGGCGCCGCCGATGCCGTTGAGTGCGTTGAACATGCCTGTTGGGGTTATGTTAGGTGTTGCTCTGGCCTGGACAGTGTTCAACTAAACTCCACCAAACTCCAACAACCCCCCCCCCTCCCCCCCTATGAAAAAACCCATACTCACCCGGACACAAAAAACATACACACGCCACCAACACCAATTGCGCCTCCGGCGAAGCATAATACCACGGCAACGTCACAGACCCCATCCGCATCGGCCCATACCGCCATCCCGACGGCCGCTCCACCGTCCGCGGGCCCAAGACGTGCATCTGCGCCTGCACTGTTGGATCCGTGTACATTGCGCACACTGTGATCTTTTTGCTTTTGTTCAAGCGGGGGAAGGGAAAGGGGGCGGGGGCGGGGGGAGATGGCGGGAGTGGACAGGAAGTAGGAGTAAGAGGAAGAGGCTACGAATTGGTCCAAGTCGAACGTGGATGGGTAGGTAGGTAGGTGTGTCTATGTCTCGGGATTCAGGACGTGTGCGACTGGTTCTATGACATATACCTACCTACCCTACCCTTCCCATCCATCCTCTGTCCTCTATCCATCCATCCTCCCTCTTCTTCCCATACTTCCTCCTATCTCCTCGAGCCCCAGCGCCAGTCCCAGCACCAGCAATAGTCTAGCCAAGTCGCTACCACGCCTGTTGTACGCCCTTGTGCAACGTCTTCCATGCGGTTTGGCGGGTTGTACTACTACTTTACACCCATACCCTACCCTGCTTTCCAGGCTCGCCTTGCCTTGTGCTGTGCTGGTTTTCCATCCACACATACGCCCTGCTCCCCTTCTCCCTCCCTACCCCCGGAGATACCGCAACCCCAGCGCCGCGAGGGATGCAAGAGGGTGAGGTAAGGACGTAAAGGGACGGGATGGTCTTGAGTATGGATGATGGTGGGGCTGGTACTTGTTATTCCAGTCTGCGGTATTGTGGTTGTAATTTGTTGTTGTAATTTTCACCTGACACTGTATGCATAACAAAAGATTCATGCTTTTCTTTGTATCTTGTTGGATTCTTTTTGCATATATTTACAATGTATACTTGACCCATATCCATCTCTATTCTTCCCTCACCTCATCTCAATCTGATCAGACTCTAGGCCGAACCGCACACCAGCCGTGCCTGCCCTGCGTCATTGACCCAAGCAACGCTGGGATGCGTGGCGTGATGTGGCTGTAAGCGGTGTGCGGCTGTGATATCGTCGAGGGTGATGGGTGGGGATTTTGGGGGGCTTGGATTTGCGTGCCTTGCGTGAGTGCGGTACGTCCAAGGGGGAAAGGGAGACAGGAGAGGAGAAAAAAAGGAGAAGAGATGTACTCCTAAGAAGTTCGCTGATCAAGGTGTCATGCATATGCGACGTCCGACACCTAACCACAGATAATCGTAGAGCATCAAGATCTACTCCGGCAAACCGTGGGATATCAACTTGATTTCCACTTCACCAGATCAACATGTTTGAATCTAGAGTTTATTGCAATTTCTCACCATCCGCGAGCGTGATTCAAAACTTGGACTTCTTCTTCGCGTGCGGGCTCGAGAAAGTGCAGGCTGGGAGTTTTCCAGATGGGGGAGTGTGGATGCTGTCGTGTCACCAATGGATACGTTTCACCGCAGCCAAAACGCCTCATCAGCATATGGAAAAAGGAAGGAAAGAAAAAGAGACTACCATGCCTTGCAGTCGCATGAAATAGAATCGTCTCTTCTCCGTCAAAAAACTTCAACCCAGGTCCATGCAAGGTCCATTAATTCTCCTCAACAAAAAAAACCCCCCCTCGGACAGCGATAACCGCCACAACGAACGAGCGTGCGAAATCCATCCGTGTATGCTCGACATCCCGTGCGCAGCGTGCGACCTTCAGCCCTAACCAGCGACGACTTCGACAATCATGGACACGGGCAGCAGTTTGCTTTCGCTTTGTAAATCCATACTGAGCCTGGGCGTCTCACTGATAAAACTATCCCAACACGTCACGTTCGTGGACGGCATTCTCGCCAATCTAGCAGCAGACACGAAAGCGCTGGGTGAGACGTGCAACGGGCTCTGCAACAGGGTGTCCAGGCTAGCAGACGGCAACACAGCGAGATGCGAACGGCGGGAGATTGGGGGTCAGATATGGGATTGGGACGATTGTCTTGTGTCGCAGATTGAGGTCTTGCGCGGTACGATGCAGGAGTTGGAGCATTTTGTGAAGAATGATGGGATAGTGGATGCGCAGTCTGCTCACCGACTCAGAGGACTGAATTACCCTGGTCCACAGCGCGATTTTGTAATTCGCCTGCGAAGTAGGGTTTCGAGACATGTGGGTGGGCTTGGGATGACGCTTTTGCTGATGAATCAGTGAGTTGTGCATGCGAGAATTGGAGGTGGAGCTGATACGGTATTCCCTAGCTTTTTCGGCAGCAGTGGAGAAGCACGGCAGACGGCAGAGGATGTGGAGAGAATGCGAGGTATGATTGCGAAGCTGGAACGTGCTCGGACGGGAAAGCCAACAGGCCGCATGTCTCGCATCGAGGCGAAGCTGGTGAAGTGTGCACGTGCTGCCATTGTGGACGTGGACTGCAGTGCGGAAACAAGCAAAGAGAAATGGGATAATTGCATCGACTCGGCGCAAGCGTCGACTTGGCTTGGAGCACTGGAAGCCTTACGGCTCGATGAACAGAATTCAGTACATCCTAGCACGGCTATGTTGGCTCCGACTGCTGTCTCTGTGGTGGGAAAGCATACCCTGATGACCAGTCCGAGGGCTTCAACAACGGCCAAACCCAGTGTTGCTATACCAGAGCACACCCACTGCGAAGACGACTTCGACTTGGACCTCGCCCGGGCCGCACTAGAAACGGGCACCTCAGCTTTCAGCACGCAAGCGTGGGAAGAAGCCACCTCACTTCTCCAAGAAGCTTTACGCGCACTCTTACAGCTCAGCCCTGAACAACGTGCGTTTGCTGACATCTTCGCTTTACACTACAGACTCGCTGTCTGTGCCTATTACACCCACGAACCAGCGGATGCAGAACACGCGCTGTTGAGCCTTGACCAGCTGATGCCGAGTACGGATGAGCAGAGAAGCTGTGTATACCACTCGAAGCATCTACTAGCACAGTTGTATATTCGAACGCAGCAGATCGAACTCGCTCAAGTGCAGTGCGAGAAAGCGCTACAAGGACGGCGACGTGTATGCGGGAAGCTGAGCGTTGAAGCATTGGAATCGTTGGCGCTCATGGCGCATGTGTACGTTCTGCTTGGGAACCGGGCGCGTGCAAAATCGTGTCTTGCCATGATGCCGGAAGCACAGAGGAATGGGGTCCTTCAGAGTGTGGAAGCGGAACTGCAGGGAGTGGTGTCACATTTGGATTTTGCGTCCGTGTTGACGCAGGGAATTGGGAAGGATTCAAGCGAGGTTGTAGAGCGCGAATGGGAGAGGGTTTCATTGGGGTCCGATGGGGACAGTGTGGCCTCGAGAGGTGGGAATGGAAGAGGTCTGGCGTCGCCGCTTGGCGTGTATAGACAGGGTCGTGTGCGTGAAGCGGCTGATGGGACTGAGAAATTGCCATCTCGCAGTCAGAGTCCTTTCGAAACCGTGTCGAGTAGTCCCAAGACACCGCAGTCGAATCTCGTGCATCAAGCCGTCCTGGAGGACGACCCACCATCCTGGAGCATACCGACTCGGACATCGATTAGCAGCGATCCACTGCACGCCACTACACCCAGCATCAAACACTCTGACAACATTTGTCCCGAGCCTCAAACACGTCTTCCGCGCACAGAAATCCTCCGCAGAATCGGCTGCCAACCCCGCGACAAACTCGAACAAGCAGTCTGCACCAGCGACCATGCCCTACTCAACGTACACCTCCGCAAGCGCAAAAGTATATGGCGCGCCAGCCTCCGGCCCCGTGGTGCCCCAGAGCGCATCACAGCGCTGCACTACGCCGCGCTCTTTGGCGAAGTGAACATGGCACGGCGCCTCGTCGTCGAAGGCAACTTCAACGTTGATGAGATTCCGTTTGGCTACAGCACGCGCCTCACGCCGTTGCACTTTGCCATGGGTGCGCGGCAAGTGGGCATGGTGGAAATGCTACTTGCGCATGGCGCGAGGCCAGTTGAAGATGAGTCTTGGACTAGCCTTGCGAAGATGATGCTGAGTCGGGCGTGGATTGCTAAAACAATGTCTGAGGCGGAGCGGGGTGATGCACCGCAGTGTATTGCCGCTATCCTGGCGGTGCTGGTGCGGTTTGGATGGGATGTTGATTTGCCAGAGGGGAAGGATGGGGAGAGCATGTTACATGCGGCCGTGTCGTTTTATTCTGGCGATTACGAGTGGGATGCGCGACTTAAAGTCGCGATTTGTAAGGTTCTTTGCGTACATGGTGCGGATTCTCACGTGAGGAACAAGCACGGGAAGACAGCGTTTGACATTGCTGCGGCTTCGGGGCAGAAGGAGCTTATTGAGGTTTTGGTGAAGAAGTGAAGAGCAGTGAGGGAATGGGAGACGCATGTGTTGAATGAAAGGGTTGAGGAATCGCTAGACAAGGAGACGAAAGATGATCTCGTGCAATTGTTGTGTAGCCGCGATGTTGGGCGGTCCGAGACTAGGAGGCGGTGGGGTGAACAGCATAAGGATGATGTTGTTTGGAGGGAACCCCACCAGAGTAAAGCGGACCAAAGAGAAATGTATGCTTCTGTCTTTGTCTCTCTTTAAGTATTGATCTCGTAGCTACCTTTGAACGATCGCGAGTACTGATTGTGTTGGCATCGGTAGAAGATGATGGTTTTGGAGCCGAAACATGGACACCAGGACCTGTACGGTAACTCTATTCGCAACAGTGTTTCCTGCGCTATGTAATGCCAATTAGATTTGAATGTCGATGGGGTTTGGTGGAGTGGAGCGACTGAAAATGATGACCTCTTGTTCATGATGGCGTGGAGGTGAGAGCCAGGTAGGTAGGTAGGTAGGTGGGTAGGTAGGTGTACGGTAGGTAGATGGGTGTTGTAAGAGGAAGGAAGACGGGGAAATAGAAGGGCCGAGCCGCGTCCCCTTTCAGAGTGGCATGATCAGCAGGCTTAGACAGGAACAGGTTAGCGGGGGAATTGGATGGACATTGGTGCCAGCATGTGGAATCAATTGGGAACAAGACAAATGCGGTTAGTGTGTCCAACTTGTCTGGCTGGTGAGATGGATGGTTTCAGAAGGCCAGGGATGGAGAGTTTGGGAAGCGGCGACCAGAGGAAACGCCAGAAATCATTTCAACCAGCAAAAAGCCTCCCCAGCCCCACGACACGTCGCCCTCTCCCACGCCAACGACAACGACGATAGTGGCAACACAACAACAACCAACAACAACGACGACTACCGCACGATAGACATACGACCTCCTTGAACTCGCCCATTCTTATTCACATACACAACCTGCCGTCGCATTCTCACACATATCACCCCCCCCCCCCCCTCCGTGACGACCCTGGATCCTGTATGCGCCTGTGCTTGAAACGCCCGCGCCTCCGCCCGACCTCCGCACCGCCGCCGATAGCTAGTCTAGTTCGAGGTACCCTACCTCCAGACTCCAGCCGCACCTCCTGGAAGACTGGCCAAAAGAAAAGACAACACGCATGCGGCGCCTGTAAACTACATTGAGTAGTCATTGTCTCTCTCGCTGGACGACATTCACGCTCCCTACCCATCTATCGCGCCTTTCCTTTCTCCCACGGGTCCCCCCATCGCGGCTTCTTGACGGCCGCCCTTGCGCCTGCCCACTTGCCTTGCCGCCTGCCTCCCCGCCTGCCTTTGTGCCTTCCCGCCGGCCTTTGTGCCTTCCTATCTGCCTTCGAGCCTGCCAGCCTGCCAGCCAGCCAGCCAGCCAGCCCGACTGCCCGACTTCCCAACGCGCGCTCATTGCGCCTTCCCTTTCTCCTTTCTTGGCAGCATAGAAGGCACGACTGGGACATGAGCTAACATGACGCGACCACACATCATCCGAGCTGGTAACACAACCCCCCCCCCTCCTCTCTCTCTCTCTCTCTCTCTCTCTTTCTCTCTTTTTCTCTTTGTTCGCGTGAATGCCACATCGTAGCACGTGCTCTTGTCATGGCTATCATGTACGGCTAACCGGCAATCCCAGACACGATCGACTTGCAGAACAAGACGTCGCCCACCGCCCAAGACCATTCACAACAGCCCGAGCACCCTGCGCCTCTGGGCATTGGCCCCGCCGCGCCTCACCAACAGGCTGCCATACGCAATGTCGAGCAAGAGCGCTCGTCCGAGGAGGCGCGTCTGCAGAACGCTTGGAGCAGTGCAGGCAGTGCAATGCACGACGACGCCGGCTCCGACGAGGAACGCACCCTAGTCAACCAGCCCGCTGACGGCCAAAGAAACACACCACAGGACGAACAGGCGAGCAAGGCGAACGGCCATGGCCATGCTGATGGCGAGGGCGATGACACAGACATGCACGACGCCGACGTCGACGAGGACATGGACGATGACGATATGATGGACAAAATATCGAGTTCGCCCTCGATAAGTGATGGTGGGTATTCTCTCCCTTCTTGTTCCCCCGTGTGGCCGGCAGGACACGAGTCTTTGACTCCGGAATCTTCGCCAATACACTCCACAATCGCCTCTTCTTCACCCTTCATCCACCCGCCTGTTCACTTTCCTATTCCCATGAGCGCCGCTCCAAGACCACAAAGTGTCCCAGCGCGCCATGGATCGTCAGGATTCGACTCTCAAGCCGATCCGCGCCCAATTTCCTATCATCCCTCTCCTTCTACCCACAACGAGTCTGCGGAGCATCATCCTGGTGAGTATGCCTGGACAAGAACCGCCACCAGACCACAACACCGTGCCATGTCCGAGGTGGAGCCTACTTCGAGCACAAAATCGAAGCATTTCGTCGCTGTCGAACATCGGCTACAGATGGCCACGGAAGAGGACTCGACGGGCCTGACCTCCAATGTGCATGAAAATAGGCTACATACCATGCTGTTGCCTATGCCTCGGCTGGCCAGCATGGAGGTCGAGGATTATCTTGTCGAGTCAACCGATACGACCGCAAGTCCACCTCGGACCGTTAATGGCACGCCCCCGCCCACAAAAGTCAGTGTTGCCGATGAGGACTCATGGACCACTGACAGTGAGGCTGACTCCTGGGACGAGAACTTGGACCACAACGACGATGATGCATCCAAAGACGTTTTCTTTTCCCATGACCCCAGATTTGTCGACTCAGGATGGGGAGGCGAATGCTTACGAGAAACAGAGGAAATCGATTTCGAATTCGTTTACGCACTGCACACGTTCGTTGCTACTGTCGAAGGTCAAGCGAATGCGACCAAGGGTGATACAATGGTACTGTTGGACGACAGCAACAGCTACTGGTGGCTTGTACGAGTAGTGAAAGACAGCAGTATCGGTAGGTCCAACTCGAGCTCACAGCCTGGTCACCTGCTAAACAGCAATATAGGTTACTTGCCCGCAGAACATATCGAAACACCTACAGAGCGCCTCGCACGTCTCAACAAACACAGAAACATCGATCTGTCGGCCACCATGCTCGGCGATACGGCTGAAAAATCGAAGAATCCCCTGAAAAAGGCTATGCGACGAAGAAATGCGAAGACTGTACAGTTCGCTCCGCCGACCTATGTAGAAGCATCAGATTACGACTACTCTTCGGATGAAGGCGAAGGTGAGCTGTTTGGTGGTCCGGAACCTAAGCAAGACCAGCAGCAGCAAGTACAGAAAACCGACGGCGAGCCTGAAGAAGGCCTGCAGGTGCAACCTCTGAAAGTCAACGGCGGCAAGAGGGATGGGGACGGTCAACCTGATGGTGAGCTGCGAGGCTCGAGCGAATCTGCCAAACGAGAGGACGGCAAAGCGAAGACGAGCGAAGACGACGTCGATCGGCCGCTGGACCCCAAGGTGTCACGGAATGGCACACTGCGCAATACCGACTCCTTCTTCAAGGACGAAAACACCGAAACGAGAAAAATCACGCTCACGCCCAATCTACTACGGGACGATTCAAGCACTTCGACAACAGGTTCCAAGGAACGCGGGCCTAGCCTTGAAAGTTTGGAGAAGATTGGCTTTGCCGACAAGGTCAAGAAGGACGATAAGAAGAAGGAAAAGAAGACGGGCATGCTGAGCGGGCTCTTCAAGCGCAAGGACAAGAAATCCAAGGGCTCACTTGATTCTGTCGATAGTGACATGGAGCGGGCAGACGAATCAGAAAGCAACGCACCACAGTCCAAAGGTTTGGAAGATTCACCAGAACGACCGTCGACTGCAGACGCAGCGGCAGCAACAGGGCCCGTCAGGCAATCAAGTATGAACAAGCTTCAGAAGAGTCAGCGCAGCCGCGATGATTCACCGCAGAAGACCAAAGGGATTTTGAAGATCAACAGCCGAGTGGAAAGCCCAGTGCAAATAGAAACACAATCAGAAGAGGCAGCCGACAAAAAGCCCACTGGACAGGAAACTGCGCCAACGATGCGCGTCGTTCCATCAGACCAAGACGACGAAAGCAATGCCATGACCAGCAAACCCACGTCGCCAGAAGGACTTACAGCTATGACTGTAGTGAACTCGTTAAATCCATTCAGCAATGGCCCAAGGACACATCTGAATGGAGAACCAAAACCAGAAAAAGTGAAGCAGTCAAAACAGCGCATGTTACTAGACGATTTCGATTCGTCTTCCGACGAGAGCACCGATCCCTTCGCCGATCCTTATGCGCAGTCAAAGTGTACACAGCCTCAGGAATCCGGAGCCACGGGTCGTCTGTCCGAATCCCCCGTCCACGTCTCAGCTGCGGATGCGCAACCTCCAAGCCAGGCTGATGCCTCCCAAACCCTCCCTCACGAAACCGATCCCCGCCAACCTCCCGCTCTCACCACCGACAATTCAAGTCAGGAAACCAGCTCTCCAGTTTCAACCCCCGATCACGACAGTCCCATGAAGACCATCCCGGAGAATAGCACTCTGACGAGCTTCCAACCGCACACTGAACCCGACCTTACGACCCAGACTTCTCAATCCGCCGGTCCACCGCCTCCATTACGCCCTGCGCCCGTTCCCGACACCAACCGGGAGCGCGAACCATCGCCTCCTGACTCCTCGTCTTCCTCAATCCTCCCCGAATGGTCTGACGCCTGTCTCCGCGCGTACCTCGAAGACGGAAGTGATATCCGCGATATGCTACTTGTTGTCAACGACACTACAGGAGTCATGCCCGTGAGCCGCGAACATCCGTTTATGAAGACGTTGTTTGTACAGGAGGAGCAAAGGATGAAGAGTTTGAGTAGTGAGTTGGATGGGCTGCTCAAGGGACTGATGGACAAGAGAATGAAGAGGGTTGGGAGCGGCAAGAGCACGAACAGTATGGAAAGAGTGAGGAGTCGGAGTGCGAGTGGGAGTTTGAGGGTAGGGAGGTAGTTTGACTGTGTTTTGGAGCTGTTCATTGTGGCAGGGAACGCAGGTCAAGGATGCGTATGGAGGAGGTTTATTTGTATACCCTAGGGATTATCTGGACTGGCGTTTTTTGTTTTTTTACTTCGTCTTTGGTCATCATGGGATCTATGTGGGACGGTATGGGGATGGGAATGGGGCATGAGGCATGTTTGTGCAATTTGCAGGTGGAGTTTAGAGTTTTCTTTTTCTTTTCTTTTTTCCCCTTGTTTTCGTCTTTTGGGCCATTTTTTCGGGCTCCTGCTTTTCGACTGTTTACTCCTTCCCGGGATTCGCCGTCCGTTTCTCTCTCTAGTTGTCTCTCTTTCTCTCCCTGTCTACCCAAATTCGTTTTTCTTTTTCAGTGTGCGGCACATCTGGCAGGTCCATGACTCACTTTTTTTTTTCTAACCGCTCGCCTTTCTATTGATTTTCTGGACTTCCATGGCTCGTTTTTTTTTCGGGTTTATCGAGTGTTGTTGATTTAGTTTAGTGGCGGGGTGAGTTTGGTTTGGACTGGTTTGACCCGACCTGACGTAACTTCCGGCCTGTTTTGTTGTGTAGTCTACATGGTTGGAGTGTAGGTCTGTGGGACTGTAGAGTTGTAGGGTTGAAATATAAGTGATAGTGCCTTGGGTGTTGATGATGTAGCATTTTGTGGTGATCGTCGCGGTGGTAGTGATTGTGATGTTGAGCCGTGCGGATTTTTGGGCTGGGGAATGTAGTGTGCTCACATAAGCTGTAGTGCAATTAGTGTATAGCACAGGCGGGGCGATTAGGTAGACCAAGTAGATGTTTGTGTAAAACTGCTTTGAAAAGTACAAGTTGTGTTGCTGCTCTTCTTGGCTGTGGTGGCAGTCGCGGTCCTGCTAATCCTATTGACATACTATTCCCCTTCTATCCTGGTATTTGCTTTATTATATACGATCTTACCTTCTATCCCCTCTCCTATCCTTTACCTCCCTTCTTCTATCCTTTATTTCCCTCCCACCTCATTATCCCAAGAAGAAGCCATGGGTTTTGGGTTTTCTGGAAGATATAAGGGAATCACGGTGAGGCATGTTTGGGTAAGTGCGGGAAAGGAAGGGTGGTTAGGTTTGGGGAATGGGGTTGTTGGTAGGATTAGGGTTGGGGTTAGATGACGATGGGATGGGTAGGGAGTGGATGGGGTGGATTTGTGGGAGAACGAGGATGCTGAATATGTACTTGGACACAAGTCTCAACAGGCACAAAAACTTGCAAGACGCATTTTAATTTTAAAGATCGAATTCAACTACCACAAGATCTGATTACAAGACAGCATTACCTTACACACATCCCAATCCAAAGAATCTACAAGACCTCAACAAAAGAAAGAAATCCCCTCGGGCAATTCAAAACCACCAAAACATTGACGAGAAGAGAAGTTTCCGTCTGGGAGCTAAACGTAATCGTCGTTGCTTGATCCGCTAGCTTGCGTAACTGCTTGTTATCCAGTCCCTCTCAACGTTGGGCTCGGAAGGGGTTTAAATCACCAGAGTCGCCTCTTTGTGAGAGCACGCCGTGTGCGCCCGTTGATGGTCGTCGCTGGTAGATGCTTTAGTATCCCTTTCCGTAGCCGCCGCTGCCGTAGTGGTCGCCGTAGCCACCGGTGGGAGTAGGTGTGGGAACACCCTTGTCACCTGGGCCAGTGGGGTAGGGAGGGACAGTGGTGGCCTCGGGGGTGCGGTAGATGGGAGTGTCTACGGCAACGGAGGGAGTGGCCTCGTGAGTATAGTACATGGGAGTGTCAACGTATACAGAGGGAGTGGCCTCGTGAGTATAGTACATGGGAGTGTCAACGTATACAGAGGGAGTGGCCTCGTGAGTATAGTACATGGGAGTGTCAACGTATACAGAGGGAGTGGCCTCGTGAGTATAGTACATGGGAGTGTCAACGTATACAGAGGGAGTGGCCTCGGCGGTGCGGTAGATGGGAGTGTCAACAGCAACGGAGGGAGTAGGGGCCTCGCTCTCGCATGGCTCGTCGTCGTCGTCACCGCCGGGAGGACCAGGAGGGCAAGAGCCGGGGACGTTGGGGTCGCAGCCACCGGGGGTGGTAGCAGGGCCGGAAGGCTTGCTTGGGGTAGCAGCTGGGTAGCCAGGAGGGCACGATCCGGGAACGTTGGGGTCGCATTTACCAGGAGTGTTGGGGGGACCGCCAGAGGTGCTCATGGTTGGGGCAGGAGGGCACGAGCCGGGAACGTTGGGGTCACAGCCATTACCGTGAACAGGAGTCGGGCCAGGGATATCAACGTAGACGGTGAGGGTCTTGGTGACAATGACAGGAGGAGGGCAGACCTCGTCCGCTGGGGGCTGGCCAGGGTGGTTCGGGGGAGGGTTGGGCTTGTTGCCAGAAGGTGGGTAGCCAGGGTAGTCTGGGGTAGGAGGCTTCTCGCCCGCTGGTGGCTGGCCAGGGTGGTTCGGGGGAGGGTTGGGCTTGTTGCCAGAAGGTGGGTAGCCAGGGTAGTCTGGGGTAGGAGGCTTCTCGCCCGCTGGTGGCTGGCCAGGGTGGTTCGGGGGAGGGTTGGGCTTGTTGCCAGAAGGTGGGTAGCCAGGGTAGTCTGGGGTAGGAGGCTTCTCGCCCGCTGGTGGCTGGCCAGGGTGGTTCGGGGGAGGGTTGGGCTTGTTGCCAGAAGGTGGGTAGCCTGGGTAGCCTGGAGCAGGAGGCTTCTCGCCAGGGGGAGTCTTCTGGCCAGAAGGTGGGTAGCCTGGGTAGCCTGGAGCAGGAGGCTTCTCGCCAGGGGGAGTCTTCTCGCCAGAAGGTGGGTAGCCTGGGTAGTCTGGGGTAGGAGGCTTCTCGCCAGAAGGTGGGTAGCCTGGGTAGTCTGGGGTAGGAGGCTTCTCGCCAGAAGGTGGGTAGCCTGGGTAGTCTGGGGTAGGAGGCTTCTCGCCAGAAGGTGGGTAGCCTGGGTAGTCTGGAGTAGGAGTTGGCTCGTGGCATCCACCCTTGCAAGAGGTGACGGTAATGATCTGAGTGGTCAACGTTGTGATGATCTCAGTGCCGTGTGTTTCGGTAGTAGGGCAGACAGTGGTGGTCTTGTAGGTCGTCATCTCCGTAGTCGCCGGTGCAGAAGACGAGGTGAAGTACAGAGGAGTACCCACAGTCCCGGATGGAGTAGGAGACGACATGGAGGCACTTGTAACTGTAGACTCGCAAGGCGTGCTCTCTGGCTGGGAAGGGGTGGGCGCACTGCTCTCACCAGGCATGGAGGGAGTAGGAGACGACATGGAGGCACTTGTAGCCGTAGACTCGCAAGGCGTGCTCTCAGGCTGAGAAGGAGTGGGCGCACTGCTCTCACCAGGCATGGAGGGCGTAGGTGAACTGCTCATGCCTGGCATGGAGGGCGTAGGTGAACTGCTCATGCCTGGCATGGAGGGCGTAGGTGAACTGCTCATGCCTGGCATGGAGGGCGTAGGTGAACTGCTCATGCCTGGCATGGAGGGCGTAGGTGAACTGCTCATGCCTGGCATGGAGGGCGTAGGTGAACTGTTCACGCCTGGCATGGAGGGCGTAGGTGAACTGTTCACGCCTGGCATGGAGGGCGTAGGTGTGCTTGTCTCATCCGGCATAGAGGGAGTAGGCATGGAGTTCACCGGGTAGCCAGGAGGAGCCGACATACCCGGCGGCGTAGGCATAGGAGGAGGCGACATACCCGGCGGCGGTGGACCTCCTGGTCCAGGTGGTGTCTCCCCGTAGCCCCAGCCATATTCCGTGGCGGAGACCGCGCCAATGATGGCGGCAGCAACGAATGCGTAACGCATAATTGTAGTGTTCAAATAGTTGGATTAAGTGTATTAACGGTAATGGCTGAATCTGATAAAGCCGACAAGAAAGATAAAATTAAAAGCGAGTGGCTGCAGTGAAAACACTGTGTGGTGGGATGAAGGCAAGAAAGGATGAGGGAGAGAAGAAGTTAGTTATATACCTATCCATCGTCTAGGTACTCAGGAGGCTCTGCTTATGGACGTCGACATCGCTTTCGTAAACGCTCGGTCCTTTACGAAGTATGCTTTGGTCAGCGGTGGGACGCTATCAATGATACGATGGTCTATTCTTTTTTCGAAATAGTTCACGGCCACTTCATAGCCCCGATGTCGATTTGAGCACTGGCAGTTGCGGTCAGCAATAGAATTGTGCACCTTGGAAACGAATTGCTGCCCCTACATCGTAAACCTCTCCAAATGGCTTCTCTCACAACATCAAAATCACTTGTTGACCTGGATTCCCTGACAAATTGATTCTGTCAGTTGACATTTTGGGCTGGTTTAGGGGTCCACTTGTGCTGCTATAGTGCCTCTGCCGTGAACCTTAATGAAGCTTATTCAACAAGTCCACGTTGATAGCCTGCCCTGACGCAATCGTTACCTACCACTTTTGCTGACGGCGAGAGCGTATTTGAGCTTCTGGGAACGAAGCATGTCTTACCTGCTCAAATGATGTAGCAAGGCCATGGTAGATTCAAAGTATTGCACACTGTCAAAACGCCCCGAAGAATGGGCAACGTGGACGGAGCCCAGGAGTCGCCATCTGCCACTGTCCAACACGCATAATGGCAAGATGCGTTGTCCAGTCAAACATAATCCTTCTGATTGCGATATGCGAATATTGTGCTCATATTGGAACACCGGTCAATATTGCAATGCACACTGCTTGTACCAATAAGGACGCGCGTATCGTGTGGAAATTCCCCTCTAGCTCCCCTAGTGGTGCATGTTGTTGACCGAGATGCCCACCGATGCCCCATGCATGGATTGGTCGTTCCTGGACGATGGCAGGAAGACAACTGGGGAACCCAGCAGTGCATCGCCATGCTGTGTGGTACGGTAGCTTAACCTTCCCCTGACTGCTGTCCGCCTATCCAAACATAGCAACTAGGTCTCCATAAAAAAATCCGCCACCGTCATGTATGCAAACTTTGGCCGATGAATGGTGGTGACAGCGACCCTAGAGATTGTAGCACATGTCGTTGACAAAAGAGGGCACAATTTAACGTTGTTGTTATGATCAAGGAATTTGAGATGGGTAGACTGAGGTTGGTGGTGTGCCTGTTAGTTCCGGGGTTTCCGCGTCAATTCAAGGCCGAACATGCTTACTGTTATGCAAATCACAGCGTGGCCAGCCAGCTGATCATCACTGTTGCTGGCCAATGAAGGGTGTAAGCCCGATTTGTTAGTCCTTATCTACCTATACGAAGCTTCAGAACTGCAACACAGGAGACCTCACGCCCACAGATGAAACAGTTCCTCTGCCCTTCGACAATTGTTCATCAATCTAAACATACTGTGGTACACAGTACGTCCAGCTTCTCGGCACGACTCCGCCACACAGCCTCAACCGGCCGTTTTTGTGAACGGCTAAATTTAGGCGATCTCGCAGCTAGCGCAACTAAAAGGGGCTCCGATTGTTGATCCCCCTGAATAGGAGTGCGTAGGTCCTAGAGTGATACGTGCACTGGTGTAGGGCAGACCCACCTGCTGGGCGAGACTCAAATGGTTCGAGAGTGTTTCTTAATTAGGTAGGGGAAGTCGACGTAATTTCATTTGCAAGCTACATGCGGTACTCTGCAATGGCTCGATTGATGATCAAAAACTAGGGCATCTCGTTCTGCATACTTGTGAATAGAAACTGAGGTCGTGCCTAGAGGCAGCTTGAACTGGACGAAATCCGACAAGCGCAATCCTTCAACTTGGACCCAATGCGTGTGGAGCCTATTGATGCGATATAATATTGTCAAGTTACTAAAAATTGGTTGCCACTTTACGTACCTATACTTCATCGTGACGTGATCCATGGCCATTGCAAAGCTCAGGTGATATTGCTTTTTAGGGCTGCTAGACATTACCGACAGCTAGACAAAGCGGGGACGGTTTTCTAAAGAGTCTTCTAGTACATGAGATTCTCTGATCAGAGAAAGCCAAAGCATAATAATCAATATGCTGCTTCTGCCCCTTTGGCAGGTGGCACGCATGTCAGACCTAATAGTACTCTTTAACTCTATGGTTCTATCTGCGGTTGCCTCGTTGTCTCACTCGCATGCTCGTATGGATCTGGCATTTTCTCTGCAACGCTTATCTCATCTCACCGCCAGCTACTCAGTCCCTCGAGTCGCTTTTTCTTGTGACTAGTCCTTTGTCATGGTCAAGTAGTCCTGGTCTCGAACATACGCCATATCCAACAGTTGACCGCTGGTTGACTACATGTACACGCAGCTGTTATGCGTTGAACCGTGAGCAATACATATTCCACTCGCACCCATTGACGACATACTATCACTCGCAAGCGGTCCTCCATGGAGGCTTATCTGTGGTGGCTTCGCTATGACCGATAAATGTGTGCAAGTGGAAATTGCACACCTTCAGCTTATCTTGCTATCAACAATCTGAAGTTCATCTACATATATTCCTCTCTTCACATCGATCTCGAATCTGCCTTCGTTGACAGCTCTTTGCTACCAATCCCCAAGATAATCCAGCAACCTACAAGGCCTGTCTGTATCTCAAATCCAAAGCGGATGATTGTCAACAATCATCACGCTCATGAAGCCCACTGTTTTCCCCTACAATCTCGCCCCCTCTACTACTAGGAGGTTTTATAGTGCCTATTCCCCCATAACCCGAGTGAACCCCCTTTGTCATGTCTTTACATGCTAAAATTTCTACTTCTGACACTGAAAACTCTACCTCTGCTCCTTACGCTGCCGTTGGCAAGAAGTGTAATATCGTGCATGCCGTACATTTCTTCACGGACAGCAATCAAATTGATGCCGCACCTGCTTCGGCTGTTGGCTGCTGCAGTATCCGACGATGAGGAGGGCCTAAATGCAGTGTGTAATGTGATCCTATTGTCCTAGTCTAGGAGGATGGGAGCCATCTATGGGCAAGCACCGCCAAGGGGCTAAGCCCATTCAATAGTCACACGTGACCGAGATATCTATAACCACAGCAGCTGCTCTGTTACCACTTTCATCGACACCATCTCTAAACGTTCCTATGACAGGCTTCTAAGCGAACATTCGGTGGTCCTAGATGAGATCCGCGGCACATAATCCAGAACAGAGGTTACGGCACCGAACTCAGCGTAAGGCAAATATCCTTGCAAGATCTTGTTGAAGTGGATGTTGAAACCTGTCAAGCCTATTGATTGTACATTCTAGAGAATAGCCATAATATCTGACTATGCGGTCAACCGTACGTCATCGTGGCCACTGTGTCTTCATTTAGAGTTGTACCAAGGGGGCTTACTATGATGAATGGCTGCTAGGCTGTTGAGGACGCTAAACTTTAACTATATACGCAAATCCTAGATATTGCTCTTCAAAACTCACAATCAGCAGAACCGTCATCTACATAAACATTGTTCCATCTCGCCTTCTTATCAGGCCTGATCAGTGCGCCTGGGTCTCCTCATACCATATCTGCACAAGACCAACTTGATATTCGTAATCACATGTACAAACGTCTGAGAGCTGTTGATAAACACTTCCTATCTCATATGTTTTTCTTGAGGGGAAATCGTCGGTCCATTCAAATGAACCGACCGTGTAATATATGAGATACGAGCATATTCTACCAGCATTTTTAGGAATAAAGAGTTCGGGATTGGTATGGAGGGGCAAATGATACAACGACAATATACCCGCATAAAGTACAAAAGTTCATAGAAGTAAGCGCTTGTAATGTATGGCCGGAAAAATTTCTGCTGCTTAGTGATGATCCTGATAGATGTTGTCGCTCACAATGTGTTGTGAGCCAAGTTACCACACGCGGGTCTTTGTAAAAGAGGTCAAGTGCACTTGTCTAAACTTTTTCTTCGCGACACGTTGGATTATGTGGATGAGAAGTATAAGTGTAGTCACGCACGAGTGATGCAATGAGATTGAATATCAACTTCCACATATGCAAGTCTAATTGATGGTCGCTATCATTGAATCTAAATATCGCGAATGAAATATGCAGTCGCTTAATAACGCGAAGTTGGGTTGTATGGTGAAATATATCGTGATATTGCTAAAATATTGGTACAAAATGAAAAGCCTCGATTCCAGCAAGCGGATTCTAAACTTCAGCCACAGAAATTACTACTCTTAGCATACCTATCTCCTTGAAGCAAGAAGCATGGTAGAGTTGGCCGCATTGCGGATGTTGTAGTACTTAGAGCGGGGGTAGTAAAGGTTGTTCTGGTTGGCCTTCAAGTTCTGCTCACCACCGATAGCCTTGATAGCAGTCCTGATGAGACTCTTCTCGTGCGTGTAGGCGAAGTCACAAGAGGTTTCCCAGAACCAGAAACCACCAAGGTTCTGCTCCTGCATCCACTTGGTCTTCCAGGTGGCGATCTTGGGGGTGTCAAAGGAGACGAACTCCTTCTTCATGGGGTCCCAGGACCAGGAGGAGATGGTCTCTTTGTCGGTGTAGACCTTGCTGCCGTTGAGAGGGAGAACCTTGTAGTCGAGCGAACCGGCTTCCCAAGTACCAGTACCGGAGCCATTGAACATCTGTCCGAGACCGCGCTTTTGCTTGCTGAGGTCGACGACATTGCCGAAGGAGCGGCCGTAGAGCGGCATACCGAGCTGGATCCTGGAGGGGTCCGCAATGTTGGCCTTGTAGTAGTCGACGGCCTGCTTGGTGTTGAATGGGCGGTAACGGTTCTCCTCGACAACCCATCCGTCGGTGGTCTTGGGGTTAGAGCGGCTGGGGTAGATGTTGCTCTGGTGGCCGGTGAAGTTGGAGAAACCGCCACCCTGGTAGTCGAACGCCATCAAGTTCCAGTTATCAACGTATTGGTCAAGTTCGCGAACGGGCATGTTGATGAAGTGCTGGGGTCCGGCAGGCGCAGAGATACCGATCTCAATGTGGTAGTTGTTGGCGTACTGTGCAGCGTACTCGTCGTACATCTATGTATGCATTAGAATCTGGTATATGAACGAAGGGATAGCAGTTCTTACCTGGCGACAGAGCTTGACGGTAGCGAGAAGGTGTCCAGCCTGTTCGGCATTGCGGGGGTATTCCCAGTCGATGTCAATAGCATCGAGACCGAGATCAGCAACAAGCGCAAGAGTAGAGTTGCAAAACTTCTCGCGACCCTCCTCAGATTTGAGAGCGGGGGCAAAGTTCTCGCGGTAAGTCCAGCCTCCCACGGAAAGAGCAACCTTCAGGTTGCGGTTCTTCTGCTTGAGCTTGAACAGCTGGTTGAAGTTGCCCAGGAGTTGCGTGCCGTTGGTGGCAACATCGCCAGGGTACGAGTACTGGATGTCAGCCCACTCATCAGAGAGGAAAACCTCGCCAGTAACGTTGTTGACGTTGGCAAAGGCGTAGTTGATCTTGGTGAGCTTGTCGTATGGGAGATCGGTCACGAAGTGCTTGCGTCCGTAGATGGCCTTCCATAGAATTAGCGTGATGCTCAAAATTAATTCTTGAAAAATCATCATACCCAGTTGACATAGAAAGCGCCCGACTGGTAGAGACCGCCACGGCCGGGCGAAGCAGCAGTCACATGAGGCCGCTCCCGAGATGGAACGGCTTCAGCGATGGAAGCTGCAGTAACGAGTGTAGCGACGGTAGAGAAACGCATTATGAATGAATGAGAGGACGGCTGTCTAAGCCAAAAGATGTGTTAAACTAAAGAGAGAGGGTTAGGTTTGGGCTTTGTAAATGCCGGGCATCCACAAAGTCTTATATAAATGACCCCTCATATTGGAAGAGTCGCGAGAGGCTGCGCATTCCCCTGCCAAGCTTCATGTGGTCGGTACGAAAGTAGACATCGTCATTCAGTCTTTGATACACTTCCTAGTCGTGTGCATATTTGGCCGTGGTGATGCCTCGAGACCAGCGAATGATGCGTGACTTTGCGGAATAGACTACGACGCGCCCCCACAAGGTCGCGGCCGACTCGGCGCAACAGCCTTGGGCTATGTTAAAGCCATGAGTCCCAAGCATTGTTTTGAGGGGTTAGCGCACCATTTATCGGCCCTCAACCTTCGCTATGTTTCAATCAAATTGCTTTGTGAGTCCTGCATCGAACCAAGCAAGAGGCAATATCCAAGCCACCTGTAGTGATTAAAACGCTTTGAGCAATGCCTTCTATGTTTAGCTTTCTAATACCGAATCTCGTGAATGCAGGATTTGGCAACGGTTCCCGCCAATTCAATTCCTGAGACCCTTGAGGAGATCGTTCCGCCATGTCCAAATTGTTTCCAGCAGCCGGGAAGGTTCATCGGACAGCACGTGCTGATCAGATGAGACAGCTTAAAAGTTGCCGGGCGCATCAGCGTAGATTAATGGAGAAGGTTCCATTCTTTTAAGGAATGTTACAGCAAACAGAACCAAAAGTGCAAAGTACGTGGCTATGTTGAGATGACCCCATTCGATGCCCAGGACTGTTGGAGTCAAGGACAGAGCAAGACCCAACCAACCTCAAACTCCACTCCACTTTAGAATACCCACCTTGTCAGTAATCGTCCCCACGAGAAATAATTTCTTTGCAATTTGGTCGAAGGAGCACGGTCTAATCAGAGAACCAAAATTAGCGAGCTGTAGAATACGCTCAAGTGCGCAATCTACCACTTACATGCTCAAATTGAGCGACATAGGAGCCCGGCGTGTCGACGAGTGGCGCATAGCATTCGACAACCCCACTGGCTATCAGTGATCGCATCCCAAGATGGTAATTCTTCACTCCGATTCGCTCGAGGTAATTTCGAGAAAAAGGCAATGTACCAAAGTTCTCGTCGATGGCCTTGAGCAGCGACTTCGCAGATGCGAGATGAACACCAGCCGTGCTGACATTCTCGTTGCGCGAATAACCGTAGACACCAACATCATCTCGGGTACGGCCTATGCCAGTACTACCGAATGTTTCAATCGCGAATACGTCGCCTTCTTCCATACGTTGAGAAGTGCGAGTCTTGACAAAAGGAACCTGCTTGTCGCCATGGATCTTATAGCGCAGGATATTGTGGCCCGAAAGGCTTGAAAGAGCCTTGACGGGAAGGGGTTTGCCATTGATCATGACTTCATAGCTCTCCATCACTTCCTGGATCGTCTCGCTGATGTAGTCCATCCTGGCATCAATCCCGCTTTCCTAAAATGCATTGTCAGCTGAAATCGAACCGAGTATGCCGAAAAGTCTACCTTGAGCCCTGTATTGGTAGCCGCTTTGACGGCAGTAAGCAGTTTATCGTACATCGGATTAAAAGCCACCGTGAAGGCGCTATCGACAATACGGCCGTTCACATGCACACCGAAGTCGATGCTCAACACGTCATCGTGTTGTAACACAACTTCCCTGGCCCCGGGATTGGGAGTCCAATGTGCTGCTACGTTATTGATACATAGGCCAGTCGGAAATCCCATGCCGGCCTTCAAAGAGTCTCCAGTCTCTATGCCTTGATGGCCAACCAACGCACGAACGCCGTCCTCGATCTCCCGAGCGAGTTCAGTCATCGAAATGCCAGGTTTCGCGATGGTTTGAGCATACTGGCGAACCTGACGATGGACCTCAGCGGCTTTGCGATAGTCCCTGAGAAACTCGTCGTTCATGTTGTTTGCGACAGCCAGATGTCGAAATTCCTCGTCTGTAGTACGCACAAGGTTTTCGTCATTGATACCGTATTCTACAATTTCACCTTCAGGATAAGGACGATTGTGGAACAGAGTTGCAATTTCAACTCTCGGTGGGGCCGTTTGCTGCGCAGCCTGTGCACTCTTCTTCTTTTTATTGTTCCTTCTTCTCTTTTTCGTGCCTGGGAGAATGAGTTTGAGTCTGATTGTGCCTTCGCATAAATCTAACCATTTGCAGTTTTTTCGCTTACGTTCATGTCAGCCCCGATCTTTCCCTCGTCGTCATCTCCGTCTTCATCTTGATCCTCGAGTGCCCCTCTAAGAAGTCCACTCGCAGCAGCAGACTTGGGAGGATTAATGGAAGCAACGGCCTTTTTAGCAGATGGACCTGATAATGAATTAGGTTAATTTGAGTCCCAAACATGGCCTCGCGGACACACTCACCGTTGGGACCTCGATCTTCGCCGTTTGGTGACTTGGAACCCATGATGGCTTGATGATTTCGCACATGAAATGCTGAGAGCTAAATACACAAAACTTAGCAAAGTCGAGCAAGATGTTCAGAAGAGCGTCCAAGGTCACTGGGAATTCGATTGTTGTTAAATGCAAATCAATTCCGACATTCACGACGGAGTTGATGGTGGAGTTGGCGAACACCGCAATAGTATGTCGGGAGGTGGGGCGGGTTCGGTCTTAAGACACGCTATGCCTGATCTGTAAGTGAATCATGCGCCCTTTCACCATTACAACCGCGACTCGTCCTCTCATCTCAGATCGAAGTATTGTCCTATTTCCGAAAAACTATGGACATAAAAGTAGCATTTGGTATTAAACGAGCAATAAGCATCGCAGCGATCTGCAAATCTCACTAGCATCGCATGAAGACAACAAGAAGAAAGAACAGCTCAAAATTTGGCTCCCAGACATACCCGTCGGTTGGGAATGGGCGAGTACCTGGGAAGGGAAAGAAGGGGGGGAAAACACGGATCCGGGGTAGTGAAGAATGGGGATGATGAGGGGGTGAAAAGAACGGCAGGGCAGGGTCAAGGTCAAGGGGGTCAGATGTCGAGAGAGCTTGGTGATGGAAGTAGGATAGGTACTGATGTCCAAGATTATACCGCTCAAATCGGGACGGTACTGCGATTTCCCAGCGTGGATAGCGGGACGTTGTAACGCTTCAACCATATCAAGTACCGCAGTCCGTATCTACTCCCCATTCAGACCGGCCTATGGACTCGAAGACGCAAACACAGACGCCAAATCATCATTTTAATGTACAACCGACACACCAAAGCCCCAGACCGCATTGACCGCACAACAATGTCATATCTGTACGGTCGAGGAGACATCTACCTCACGCCTCAGCCAAAGTCTTGACACTGTAGAGAAACTTATTCAGATCCTGTTCGACCTATAAACGCATGTTCTCAACTTCATTCACAACAGCTGTCTCTTGGACCCCCTCAATCTTGACTTCGGCCGGAATACTCAGTTTTTCTCACAGTTCACAGTGTTCGCACCAGCAGTACACGCCATGATATCTTCACAGACATGGCGTTTACCGCCTCCATCCTGTGAGTTTTTTGTTGTGAGGAGCCGTATGAGATGTCTGAGCAACTGGTTGCAGCCGAAAACATAAGAGGTGGTCACGCCGTAATTCATTGCTCGACATTTGTTGGCAGTAGGGTAAGGAGGGCTGCGTGCATGCCAAGCTCATTCGGTTGATGGCTCAGTGTGAGGGTGAACAAGAGAAATGAGGCGATGGTGTTCCAAATACTCGACAGGTGTGCTCTTCAAGGCTAGTATTGCTTGTCATGAGACTGCGGTAATAATTGCGGTAAAAACAAAAACGTGCAGAGTTGGCGCCTTGAAGAGCACTTTTGTGTGATGCTATACCGTAACATGCGTATCAACTATCGCACTGCACATGATCAAACACCCAATTCCAAGCCCAACACTTACCAGCTTTTGCCTTGATGTGATAGCTACAATATCTCCTCGAGCATACTTAGCACAAGCCATGAAATAAGACAAATTTGAAGATGATATGCCCAACTACTCTATACGGGCGCAGCACAACACCCGCCAACCACCATCTTCACCTGTCGCTCCCCCCAAATCCAGCCACCTCAACATCCCAAGCCCCAACCTTTACCTCGCCATTCCTACCCACCCACCCCCACAATAACAACGACCAACTGACTACAAAATCTCATGACCAGATTAGGTATCACAATGACGTCAGACCTATCCAATACATGGGTAATAGCCCTACAAGCACCGCGAGCATTCTTATAGCCAGACAGATTCCTCCCTCCCCAATTCCCCTCATCCACAGGACAGAATAATCCAAATTGCTCAACTTCCAACAAACCACCCTCTTTCCAACTCAACACAGACAAGAAGAAGAAAATAGCAACGACAATGGACGCCCAGCCCATCACCAACAACACCGCCGGCGCGCCCGAAAGCACGCAGAATAAAATTCTCGAGACGGGCGCTGGGATGACGCAGGTATGCAAACCCCCAACCATCTCCCATTTCTCCAGCGGGATTGAAACCGACATCGTGTTGACGAGAAAATCTTGCAGAATTTCGCACCTACACAGCGCATCTGCGCCCACCTCAATGCGTTCCACGCGTACGCGCACGATCCCAAGCGTGCGCCCGTCGAGGCAAATCACTATTGTGCGCATTTGAATGAGGATGTGCGACAGTGTATCCTGTATGATTCGGCGGAGCCGGGGGCGCGGATTATTGGAATCGGTGAGGGTTTTTTTCTTGTTTGCTTTTCAAACCCTTACGTCTTGCTCTGTAAAGGGTTTGCATCGTCGCCCTATAACCATGGTGTGCAACGATGAAATCATCGATGATACCACAAGCGACCCATACTAACCCCAAAAACCACAGAATACATGATCACCCCAGCCCTCTTCTCCACGCTTCCCCCCTCGGAGCAGAAACTCTGGCACACACACGTCTTTGAAGTGAAATCCGGGATGCTCACGATGCCGCGGCCCGCGCACATTCCCGCCTCCGTATGGTCCGTGGCAGAGAACAAGGAGATGGAGCAAGTGATCCATTTATATGGCAAGATCTACCATTTGTGGCAGACGGATCGTGGGGATGCGTTGCCGTTGGGTGAGCCGCAGTTGATGACAAGTTATACGGCCGAGGACCAGATGCCGGGGTTTAAGGAGAGGTTGGGGGAGAGGGATGCGAGGTTTGGGGGAGATTGGAGGGAGAGGAAGGCGGCGAGGGAGTATATTGCGGTGCCGGAGTTAGGGGGCGAGGCGGATGCGACGTGGAAGGAGGGCGGGGCGGGCGGGGGAAAGTGAGGAGGTTGTGATTGTGATTGTGTGGGAGGGAAAGGTTGCAGCACTTGCGTTCTTTTCTTTCCCCCGTTTTCTTTCCCTATCTCTCCTGTTGATGTAGAAGCGCATGCGTTTGCGTGATTGGGCCGAGATTCTACTTTGGCGTGCTGTCCTCTGGTACAACTTCAATCCTAACGCTTTCTTTCCTCTGCTTCCCCAACAACTTGCCCAACAAATCCTTGTCCTTCTGCTTCTCCCCGCCCTCCCCTGCTTCCTCCATACTACTCTCCTCACTATCCGACGATATATCTGACCCTTTCGCCTCCAACACCCCCAAACCAAGATCCATCTCAATGTACGGTTCCCCCTCGTCCTCCGGTCCCTTATCCAAACTCGTCAACGTTCCCGCCCGCTTCTGCGCCTCGAGCTCCTCATTCGCCGCCTTAAGCCGCGGTAAGAAATCCTTGAGGAAGTCGCGGATATCCGGGCCGAAATCTTCGTGTGCGGAGAGTTTGAAGGCGGGTTTAGGGCCGCGGTTTGCGCGGAGGTTTGTTATGGAGGGTGTGGTGGTGGGTTTTTCGTCAATATCCATTTCTGTGTTGGTTTCGCCGACGTCGCTGTCTGCTTCTTCGTCATCATCATCATCATTTTCTTCTTCTTCTTCTTCGTCGTCGTCGTCGTCGTCCGAGGAAGAATCATCGCTGGGTTCGGGACTCGAGGAGGATAGCACTGAACTATCGCTATCGCCCTCGGAGAGTTCGCTCGCGTCTATGAATGTGCATGTTGTGCTTGTGCTTGTGGGTACGAGGGCGGGTTCGTCAGAGTTGGTGCTTGGGTCCGAGGAGGATGTGAAGCGGACGCGTTTGCGGCGGTTGGGGAGGGGGGTTGTTGGTTCGGTTGTATAGGGTCCCGACATTTGTGTATTGTTTGTCAAGTTGCGAAATTTGCGTAGCAGTTTTACATGTGTCGGATATGGCTGGATATGGGCGGGATGTTCTGCGGATGATATTGGGTGTGGGGAGAGACATGGAAGATTATCAGAAGTTTTGTCCGACGCGCAGGGAAAAAGCCAAAAGCGGAATAGTGCAGAGACGAGTGCGTCGAGTCAGGCTCTACGTCATGAGCAGATAGCACGTGACCGATGATTCCCCATGCTACTCCTTGCTGTGTACTTACTACGTCCTATGTACAGACAAACAACAATTGGGTTATTTCCTAGCGCGACGTCCACTATGACTTTCTCTCAAACAAATATATGATATATCTGATTCGCCGGCTCGCTTTCATCCGCCAACTGCACCCTTATTCTATTCAGCACAGGAGATCGGGTCTAGAGACTAGACTGCACACATGCACGGGTATGATAGGTACTAAATACCTATCCAGGTACCGGTACATACTGAGACTTCCAGTCATGTGGGGGCCTCAGGCGTGCGATGCAGTTGGCGCCTCCCAGTGGTGTCGGACCGGGGGTGAGATGAAACGGCGTCTTGAAACGGTAGAGCGGGCGGGCGGCTGCATCGCTGACTTGTGAGCCCCCATCCTATCTGGGCTTCTGTAGCCGCATCTCCCTTTAAAGACCACCCAGACAGACAGACTGGGGCTTCTGACTGCACTTTTACCTTTGGCTATCTTGTAGCGTTTTTCTTCTTCTCTTCATCCATACTTGCCCGTGGATTTTGCTGGTCGCGCGTGCTGAGCGAATTTTCTGCTGCTGCATACACAAACACACAATTCTGCCCCTCATTTCAGGCCATACTACCGTGTACGCAGTACGCCGAGAAAGGCTTGAAGGAGCAGCATCAGAAAGTAGGTAAATCCATGTCTACGGTCTTGTTTTGGTTCTCTTCGTCTGCGTTTTCTCCTTTTCTCCTTTTTTTTCGCCCTCCTTCGCTCCTCAGAAAGGCGATTTGCATCTGGCTTCGAGGTCTAGCAGCAGTACGTCCATAGAAGCCGCCATTCATGAGTGTGGAACACTGCCAATATCTTCTCTTTGGGCTCCACCTGCCCTCTGAATGAGCTGCAGGTCTGTTGCCTTTGGCATTATCGGCCTGCTTATTTCGTCCTGTTCCCCTATCCTTACTCAAGAGCAGCGTGCTCACGGACCACCCTTTACCTTCACGTTCACTTTCACCACTGTCAATTGCCGCAACAAGAGCGACCTGATAATAGTCGCCATAGCTATCGTGCGTTTGGGCACAGATATTGCCCATATAATGCCTCCTCTGCTCACCCCGTTCTTCTTTCTCATATCCATCACATCTCCATTTCACCTGTCCATCAATCACATTTCCTACTATCTGCACGCCTCTTTCTCATCTCTCTCATCTCACTACCTTCCCAATGGCTGAAACTGCTCGCTTCATTGCCATGATCAGAGCTTCTGCTAGTCAGAACGCTAATGTCGACAAGTCCAAAGACAGAGACCAATCCTCCTATCGTCCTATACGTGAGGGGCCAGCTGCAGCACGCAAACCCACTTCCGCCCTCCTTCTAGGAGAGCTCATTCACAGCATAAAGAACGGTGCTCCTCTGCCGAACAAGCCCTTGAACACCGAAACCAAAGAAGGCCTCGACCGCATCCTCGACCTCCTCAACAACAGCCTTCTCCAGACTCCGACTGCTACCCCTGTCACCCATCTCTCCAAGCACAAATCCACCTTTAAAGACATCGACTGTGTCACCTCCACTCGCAAGCTCAACACTACCGAAATCACAACCCCCCTCCACGCGACCACCATGGCCAACCGCTTCCCTGCCCTCAGTACCTCGGACCTCCCGCGCGCCTCGGCAGAAGAGCAATCGGCAACGGCCTCCCCCGCCCGCGGCACCGCCATGCTCAACTCCATTTTCAAATCCGTGCGCGTCCCCGAATTCCGCTTCAAGTGGCTCTTCTGGGCCGAAAAGGGGCAGGCCGGTGCTCCTGCCTCCAAAGCCGGGGCCGAGGACTTCGCCTCGCGGCCCAAACCCCTGGGCGACACCATAATCAGTGTCAAGGAGTTCTACCAACACTTCAACAACATCCCAGTGGAGAACCTGAAGCTGAGGGACAGCATACACCTGTTCCATCTTGGAGTGAAGCCGGTGTGGGAGGATCCGAGAAATGTCAAGGGCGGGGCTTGGTATTTCAAGGTGAGCAAGGATGTTGCGAGCCAGTTCTGGCATGAGATGTGTTTGTTGGCTGTGGGAGATATTCTGCAGGGTGCGGTTGAGACTAAGAGGGTTTGTAAGTTTTCTCTCTCTCTTCTCTAGTCATTTGGAATGATGGCTCATCCTGTCCTTGTAGCGTTTAACGACGACATCTGCGGCATCTCATACAGTGTCCGCTGGAACGCGGTGCAAATTGCCGTCTGGAACCGCGATGCGGACAACGAGGCAGGCAAGGAGAAGTTGCTGGCGGTGATTTTGGAGAAGTTGTCAGAGGAGCTGAAGCCCAAGAAGGAGGACAATTACTGGTACAAGGCTCACAGGGAGCACAAAGGCTTCATTGAGCAGTAGATTCGCTCGTGCGGTTCTGTGCTGTTGGCTGTCCTGGGGGGTGGATATAGCATAGATAGATGGCTGTCTAGCATTATGAAGATGCATTCACATGGGTAAACTGATATGTACCTATCGAAATAGATCATGCTAAGCTCACCGACTCAGTATAGACATGAAATTTATTCGCAATGCATCACATTGCGTCTCCGATATCATCGCTACGATGTGCATTGAGCGCACCATATACGCCAAGATAGTGTGCACCTTATATATTATTAGCATTCAATGTATTATAGCCGAGAGTAGAACATGACCTATCCAATTGCATTCTACACCGTCGTCGTAGCTATCATGCCTACCGGTACCTAACCGTCAAGATCCATGGTGCACGGACCATGTACAAGGATGCCAACCTATGACCCGTCCAAATTCCTCCACCTCAGCACACCACAGTCACCACCACCCACCCCTCCCACCTCCACACATTCACACCTCCACCCCCACGCCACCAAACATGGCCGCCATTTCCCCGTCCTTCTTCCGCTACTTAATCCCCCTTAGCATCACTGCCTCAGTCATCCAATCCTCCCTCTACGACGTCAAAGGCGGTACGCGCGCCGTCATCTTCGACCGGCTCAGCGGTGTCAAGGAAGAGGTGGTCAACGAGGGCACGCACTTTTTGGTCCCCTGGCTGCAGCGTGCGATTGTGTATGATGTGCGCACACGGCCGAGGAATATAAGCACGACGACGGGGAGTAAGGATTTGCAAATGGTCACATTGACGTTGAGGGTATTGCATCGACCGGAGGTTCGAGAGTTGCCCAGGATTTACCAGGTATGTTTTTTTGGTGGTTATGCAGTGTGGAAAAGTAGTGGCGTGGTGTATGCCAGGAACATATGTACATCACATTGAGATTCGGAATCGCAGCTGATAACCAACTTTTTCACCAGAATCTCGGTCTCGACTACGATGAACGTGTCCTCCCCTCCATCGGCAACGAAGTCCTCAAATCCATTGTCGCCCAATTCGACGCCGCAGAACTCATCACCCAGCGCGAAGCCGTCAGCAACCGGATCCGTGCTGACCTCCTCAAGCGCGCCAACGAATTCAACATTGCCCTCGAAGATGTCTCCATCACGCACATGACCTTTGGCAAGGAGTTCACCAAGGCGGTTGAGGAGAAGCAAATCGCGCAGCAGGAGGCCGAGCGCGCGCGCTTCATTGTGGAGAAGGCGGAGCAGGAGCGCCAGGCCAATGTCATTCGTGCAGAGGGCGAGGCCGAGGCGGCAGACACGATTAGCAAGGCTGTGGCTAAGAGTGGTGATGGCCTTGTGTTGATTCGCCGAATCGAGACGCAGAAGGATATCGCGCAGATGTTGAGCCGGAATCCAAATATCTCGTACTTGCCGGGTGGGAGCGGTGGTGAGGGTGGCAAGGGCGGAGGCGGCAACTTCTTGCTCGGCCTGAGGAGTTGATGGCCTGAATTGTGGTGGGATGGCAGAGTGAAGAGTGTGTAGATGGAAAGGATGGCGTGTTGGAATGGCATGAGTGGCAGGATCTGTATCCATGGGAATAAAGAGAATCGCTCCTCTGCTTTCTTGGTGGGGGAAAAGAATGGGGATTTGGATGTATGATTACGAAATGAAGATTTGAAATATACACTTCTCCATCACGATGATGATGATGATGATGTTGTTGTCGTGGTACTAAGGCTGCTTTCATTCAAGTACACCGCTTTGAGTCTTGCACGCCCGTCCATTGGAAGACCATCATCTCCAAGTCTCAATCAGCCCCAGCACATCCATCTCAGCCATCCGCTCGCCCAATCACCACACCACTCTCCCACAGCCTCCTCATCTACACAGTACCAGAGAACATCTCATCCACGGTCCGTCCTCAACTACACATCACAAATCACACTCCCATCTCCCGTCCCCCCTCACTCCCCAACACACACACACACACACCCCTCCGGCACCACCACCATCCGCCCGCCAACCCCCATCCCCCGCACCACCCAAACCGCAAACCCAAACCCGGACACTGCGTATTCCGGCAGCGGCCCTTGCCCCTTGCAGAGTGGTGTGTATATGGTGTGTATTGTACATTTTCCCCCGCAAGTCCTGGATACATGCAAGCGAGTATGTCGCTCAGGGTGCCGCATTTGGGTTGGTGAGGAGGGGTGGAAGTGATTGAGTTTGAGACGTCATCAACGTGCACGACTCACGTATCAGATTGTTTCGCGAGTGCTGACCACCCGGACTAATGGGAACGGCTTGTTAGATGCCAGACGCAGATCCCCTGCCTACATGGTGTTGTTGTGAGTGAGGGCGTGCTGGGGAGACGAGGATGTCTGTTCCCAATCATATACGCATGATTGCAGTGCCTACCGGTATAGTGGATGGATGGCCATACACACACAGAAGCCTCTTCTCAAGGCAGCAAGAAACAGCGGTGCAAGTCAACAACAGACATCCAGCACGGCAATCATGAATTCTGTCAGCCTGGTGGAAAGTCTTGCGGGGGGGAAGGGAATACTGCGCCACCTTGGTTGCTTCATTGCAAGCACATCTGACCGCGTCCTCCACCTCCCTGTGCCTGCGATAGGTTGAAGCCGACGATGTTGAGCCTGGCCTGGCTGCCCCGGGCATCGAGGCTACGGTTCGGGTGTGGCTGAGCCGGCGTTGAAGCTGTGGCTAGCCAATCAAATCCATCGTGGCCGTGCAGCATCCCTCTTTCTCCCCATAATAATCTCCCTCACCAGAGCATGCCGGCTTTCCCCCAAGGCTTACTCCGCCTGGATGCGTGCGAAGTATATACAAAAGGCTTGCGGTCGTGGGAGGGCCACAGAGATAGCTATGTGTTCGATGAACGTGTGAACGTATGATGGCATAGCTCGTTCTTCTGCCAAACCCCCCCCCCCCCCCCCCTCCCTCTTTGCGAAACCTCAGCCTGCGCCCCGTTCACATACGATACCTGGTGATTAACAGTTCCTACCATACCCATCTACCCAAGTGACTAGCTAGCAATGGCGATGGAGCAACCACGCAGACGTACGCGTACGAGCATCATCCTCGCCTTCAAGGTCCTACAATTTGTCAATCAGCTTCGACGGCGTGTGAAGCCGCGTGGATCGCAAGGCACACTCGAGTCGACCGATCTTGGCACCGAAACATCTCTCGGCCTCAAGAACCTGAGGTCCATGTCGGATGGCTTGGCAAGGATCGCCGTCGAAGATGCAAAGCCGCCGCGAGAGGTGGGTTTGGGTGTTTCCAAGACTGGGCCCAAGCCTGGTCCAGAGACGCCGAAGTCTGTCCGTCTGCTGCCAAGGGCGAACACGACGGCAACGCTTGTCTCCACGACTCCAAACGCACCTGGCCATGATGCGCAACAGTAGGCGTGCAGGAGCTTTCTGTTTGCTTTCGCCTGCTAAGCTTTCCACAGTCTGCTAAGCATCGTCGACCGCAAGCTCAGCCGCGAGGGCAAAGGCGTCGCCTTCTCGGCCGTGGCAGGGGATGACCACCTGCTCCTCAAGCACAACAACGCGCCCCTCTTTGAACGCTGCTCCCTGACCGAGCTCATCCAGCTGTTGGCAGCCGTGCATGATGCCCTCCAGGTGCTGGCCCAGTGCCGGCGACAGTTTGGCGATGACTGGCTCGTGGCCCAAGGCGTGCATCTCGGGTTGAGAATAGACCAGAGTTTCATCGCCAACTACGAGCATCTGCTCGTGCGGCTTCAAACGGATCTGATGGATGCCATGGCCCGCCGGGCCTTTGAGGAGCTGCTGCGGGGCGGGCACGACAAGAGACAGCGCAAGCTGCTCAGCTGGTTCAGCGAGTTTGCTGAGCACCGCCAGCCCTTGAGCACATGCTTCCCATGGACGATCAAACCCTCCTTGGCCGTCCTCTGGGGCGTCTGCTGGATGTTTTACGACCACCAGGCGGCGGCGGCGGCGGCGGCGGCCGAGGAAGAGGCGACCAAAGGGGGAAGTTTGCGCGGGCCGCTAGACAAGGTACTCCAGAATATCGATCGTGACCAGTGGGACGCTCCCGCATCATCCGACTGTACGTACTGTGTAGGGGGGGGGTTTTTTTTTGTTCGCGTACTCTGCCATCCGTTCTCAACCTTGTTTCAGTGTGGCTAAGTTTGGCAGACGTCGACCTCGGCCGAACGTTGATTGGCACTCGGCCGCAACAGGCAACGCAGCAGCAGCAACAACAACCTCACCAAGCGCGACAGCAGCAAAACACGGGAAACGTGCAGTCCGATTTCAGCACTTTGTGCCCTTCTAGGCTGCTGCTGCTGCCGAGAAGACTAGAGGCTGGTCAGGCCGGAGATCATGGACATCATGGACCCTCACCCTCACCCTCACCCGCGGGCCTCTTCCATCCGCCTCGTCCATGTACGTACTAGTCCTCTTCCTGCTTCTTGACTCACATCACTTTGCCATCTACCCAACCCACCAGGGTTTCAGCCTGCTCGAGGTTGCCTTCACTAGGTCCTGGTTGGTACCTAGACAGCAGATACTGACCATGCCCAGGCCAAGATACTTATTGTCGTGATGCCCTCCAACATCTTCCGCCATATTCGCCCGCTAATTTCTATTTGCCTCATAATCAAGGCACGCCCGCTGCGCCACTCACGGCCTTTGTACATCTTGGCACCGACAACAACAGTAACTCTTGGCATCCTTACCCTTCTTTGCCACAAGACAGTCGTCGTCATCTACTCGCGTCTGCTCAGAACCCCAGTATTCGACTCACCGGGTCTGCAGGAACCGACGTCTATGCTCAGCCACACCCAGACCTCGCGGCTTTTGACAATATATACCACCCAGGCCAGCAACCTGAGGCCTACTCACTGAATCTTGACCCTTCTCCATACCACAACCCTACTTTCTCCCCCTCACAATACATCATGAGCGAACCAAACATGTCACCGACTACTGCTACTACCACTATTACTACCACTACTACTACTACTGCCGCAACAACGACACCAACACCAGCGCCAGCAACCATGCAGATTCCCCAGATTTCTGTAAAGCATGAGCGCGCCTCTTCTATCAACTCGCTGAACGGGATGCCAACCCCGGTTAGCACGTCGGGCCCCCGATCCCCGCTAACCCCAACCGCCGATGCGCGTACTCACATCCTACCGAGTCCCCAAACTCATAGTCGCCGTGTTTCAGAGGATCGTTCTTCGATGTCTGGCGATGATGAACGGAGAATCAACTACAGCTACAAGCGCAACGAGGAGCCGGAGCGGAATTCAGAAGGAAAAATGATCTGCAAACACCAAGACTGTTCCGGACTACTATTCGAGCGCAGGTGTGAATGGAGGTAAGATTCCCCCCCACCCCTGGAGAAACATGAAGAAAGCAAGACAACTGACGTCACTTGAACAATAGTAAACACATGGACAAGCACGACCGGCCCTACAAATGCAACGTCAAGGGCTGCGAAAAACTCCAAGGCTTCACCTACAGCGGCGGCCTACTGCGGCACGAACGCGAAGTTCACAAGATGCACGGCGGCACCAAAAAGTCACTCTTTTGCCCGTTTGACGACTGCAAACGCAGTTCTGGCGCCGGCTTCACGCGCAAGGAAAACCTGGCCGAGCACATTCGCCGCGTCCACCGCCGCACGAGCATGTCAGCTGACATGCACGGACTGAGGGTCCGCCGCGATTCCACGGCCATGACGGGCGCCATGGAGAGCGCCGCACCCTCGATTGCCGAGTCGCGCCGCTCGTCCGTGTCGCCGTATAGTCGGCCGTTGGAGTTTCGCGAGGAGGAGGATGTGGCTGTGAAGAGGAAGCGGGGCAGCGATTACGGGCTCGGGGAGGTGCTTGGGGCGGAGGAGTTGAGGGCGGAGATTAAGCGGTTGAGGTTGGAGAATGAGGAGAAGGATTCTAGGTTGCGGCAGTTGGAGCAGGCGGTCATGGCGTTGCAGCAGGGGAGACGATGATTGGGTTTGAACGCAGAGTGCAATGCGCGACTGGGTTACGGCATGCCAATGTCTTTTTTTTTTTTTTTTTTTGGCCATGGGCGGATCAAACTGCATCATTTTTCCCTTCCGGTCATGGATACGAATCTCCTTGTTTCCCCTTTCACCGATCAAGGCAGCGTGGGTGGATACCGTTGTCATTATCCTGTTACTCTATGCTTGCTACTCTTTTTTTTTCCTTGTCCTTGGGCCGGGCGGATCTCGCTGACACTGAAGAGGATTCCGAATCTCCTACACCTTAATGTGTTTTTTCTTCTCCCTTTGTATTGTATCAAGGTTTGCCTCGTAGGGCTGGCACCTACTGAGTTGTCACGAGCGATGATGGCACCCAGTGGCTTGGGGCTGGGGCTGGGAGATGGATGGTAGGCTGGATGGTTGGAAGGGAATAGACTAGTAGAGACCTCACTCTGTTTTGGCGGAAGAGTTCACCTATGCTGTCCGGCTAGACGGGAACTCGGAGATGTAGATTATCCTCGCTGAACCATGCAACGGCGCTGCTTTCCCCCCGACGCTTGTGTTCCCACTGCCTCTCTTCATTCACCGCAGCTGTGTTTTTGAAAATCAGGATTGCGTGCGCATACCTGTCACCATTGCTGCTTTTGCTCGTCGGAATATGCCCCCCCTTGGCCACCAGCACAACCCTCATTCCATTCCACATCCAACACCAACACCCACACCCCCCACCACCACCAAGTCAAACCCCCCTGGCTGCCTAGCAGGATCCCAACGCACCCCGGTACCCAACGGAGCCGCGCGCATGCATATGGATGCCTACGCAAGAGTTGGGAAAAGGGCGTGAACGGTTGGCTTGGCTGGGTGCCTGGGCTAGAGGACTGGATGGAAACGGGGGGATGATGTGGTGTGAGGGGAGAGGAGGGGGGTCATGGGGAAAGAAAGGAAGGAAGAAAGGAAGGAAGAAAGGAAGGGTAGAGCAGAGCATCAGAAGTGAATCACGGGGTCCACCCATGGTTGAGCCGAGATCCGCCGCCTGCGTGAAGACATCTCATGTCCCTTGCTGCCTTGTACAATCTTCTTTTTCCGCCTCATCCCGCAACGCACGTACGGTGCAAAGGACGGGACAGGTGTGGGCGTCACGCCATCATCACAGAACCTCAGGCGCCTCGCACGCACACGCACACGCACACGCACACGCAAACTCACTCTGGCATTGCCAAAAGGTCAAACTCGGCTGGACAGGTTTGACTCTACACGACTCATCAACACAAGATCCCAGGCAACAGGATGCAGGATGCGCATACTACAAAACACGTCGTCGCTTGACGCGCGGGCGCGTGATCACATGGGCTACTGGGCGTTGGTGCGACCCAATCAGCACGGATGGTCTTGGGGTTTGTGGAGGGATGGCCGGGAGGGAGATGTGACTCAGAGCTGTGAGTCTTGTGTGGCGAGGTTATACAAGCGATGGGTTGGTGGTATGTGGTGCGAGGGCGTGGTGCAACGTGTGCTGTTGAGGAGGATGTGGTGCGAGGGCGTGGTGCAACGTGTGCTGTTGAGGAGGGAGGATGTCGGGTTGAGGCGGCTGGATGATTTGTCATGTGTGGCGGTGCTGTGGCGGTCATGGTCGGCTGTGGCGGGGGGGGGGGCGGCTTGCATTCAGAGTTTCTAGATCATAGCCAAACGTACTACCTAGAGTAGTGTCCCTGCTGTACTCTAGAGTATCGATAGATGATGGTGGGTTACGCAGCACAACCTTGATTTTCAACTTCTGAATCTTCTCAACGTGCAAAGACTTTGGGTGTCGACTTTCAATGATCTTTGGTTTTTTTCGCGAGAGGCAGCCATCAGCCAATCAGCGTCATCCGTCAGCGATCGAAGCGGCATACCACCACACCCCGCTCCCCGCTCCACCAGACAATGAGAATTCTTCCTCTGCCCCCGCTTAGCGCACTGAACACGTCCGTCCACCACGTCCATGGTAAGCCGTCGTGTGTACTCGCATCAGCAAACCATCATATCAGCATCAATACATGTAATCATCACCTCGTAATGCACCCATCAAAACCAGTTTCACTGGCCTAATGGCCCAATGGCAAGGCGCTTGACTACGACTCTGTCTGACATCAAGAGATTCCAGGTTGTAAGTGTGCTCAAAGCGTACTCGATTCGAATCCCATTACTAACAATGGACAGCGACCCCTGGTTAGGTCATTCGACATTCTTTTTGGCTCCTGATTTGATCCTAGGTTTAGTCAGGCCAGGTTCGACACCGAGTTGGTGTTTCTTTTTTGGCATTCTCTGGTGAATGAATAGTATTAGAGTCGTCATATGTACATCTCTCTTGGCAATACTGATTGACTATGCATAGTCTGTAGAATCTGTTTTTGCGGATGTTAGAGAGGGCATCGTAGATTACTACATTTCTTCGATGTGATGTTGGAGGGTGTGTAGGAGGAGATTACAAGATCGCTCTATTCTTCTATGATTTTGCGCATGTTTACACAAAATCAAGCAGCGTCTTGCACCGCGTGGACCTTAAGGTGAATCATACCGTTTTATCAGCGGCGCCGCTGCGGCCGTTCGGAAAGAATACATTGACGCTTCTAGTCCGGTCAACCTTCTTTCCTCGTCATGTAGATGCTCTCACATCGATCTGACCACCTACATCACCACCGGCACGCTCTCATGCACTGCCTCATGATCGCTCAACTGCGTTGGCACCAAGACCACTAGAAGCGACAGTGTTCCTGGCAGCCCCTCTCTCAATCGATTGCTATTCTGCTTGTCGCCAAGTCTGCGCAGGTTGACTTCTATGTAAACGAGCTCCATCCCAGCTTTTCATGGTCCATCTCCTCAGTCATTCTCGAGCTCAGTGATTACACAACAGTTCGCAATTCATCTATACCCTTGGCTCACCACTCTCAGTCGCTTCAATCATGAAGACTATTTCCATTGTCGCTTTGTTGGCTCAGGCTCTAATAGTCGGTGGCATGTGGTGCAACACTGCGGGAGCTGGACTTCGAGAGGGCCTGAACTGCCATGTATGTGAATGCAGAGCCCTTATTATCACTTGCCAAGTACTAATAGCAACAGAAAGAAGCAAAATACACATTTTGCGTAGGTTATTCAAACACCTACAAATCACTGGGGCAAACTGCTAAGCTCAAGTATAGTGCACTGAAATTCCAGGTGGAGATACACCAGTCCCGCGAAGGTGTCAACCGACTATAAACGGCACTACGGATATGATTGTATACGACAAATGCGATCAAGGCGTAAGTTTCCATGTGCCTAGTCTTTATGTCACGTTTACCTACTAACTATCCAAATGTAGTATGTTTACTGCGTAAGCAACTTAGTTGTTATAACATTTCATCTCGCTTTACTAAAAAAAATACACAGTGTGACGCGTAATTGAATTACACACATATCCAGTGGGGGCTGTCTAAGCAAACCACCGCCTGTGTCGATCAACATCAAACCATACTTTTGGCCATTACTGTGTTCGTTGAACACCAAGGCTCGTGCAAGTTGCCTGCTAGTCTAGCAGGATAAAAGTCGAAATAGCATATTTTATTCAGCGTCAAGAAATACTAGATTCTTTTCATCCTCGCCGGTTTTCTCTACGATTAGCTTGCTGCCCTAAATTGGCATGATGCTAAAGCCCACTGGTTTGTTTTGACAGTTCGATTTGAACATGCTCGAGCAGAATTTGAATCCCAAGTATTGTATACTGCACACTTTATGGCGAGATCCTGAAACACTGTCTCGCGAGGAAGGTGTGCCAATGACTCAAGGTTCGTGTTACAGTTGTTCTCTTCAGACTAGCCAAGATATCATCAGCTCTAACACAGCTCCAACTCTAGTCTAAGGCCCCTCTGCCTCTAGATATAAAAGGAGCTTTCTGCTTATAGATAGATAGATAAGTTCTTCTTGTTATTTTATACAAGACCTATAGGTATAGGAATCTTATCCCCTTTCTACATAGATGTAACAACTTAGGTAGGTAGGGCATCCAAAAGGTATCCTATATAACTTAAAGGCATATAGGAGTGCGCGTCTATATAGAAAAGGATAAGATTCCTACACCTATAGGTCTTGTATAAAAGGATAAGAAGAACATGCCTATCTTAATTATAGGCGAGCTACTCTTTATATATATTAGTAAGTTAGGCCTTTATAAGGCCTAAGTTAGTATAGAATAATAGGCAACTAAGTCTACCTTATTATTATACTACCCCCTCCTATAAAAAAAGAATAGTCCCTATCCTTTAGATTAGGTTTAGATCCCTTATTAAAGAAACGCTTCTATAAAATAATTCTACCTTTACTTCTACCTTTACCTTTACTTCTTATTCCTAGGGTATAAACCCTTATCTATAGCCTACCTATATCTAGCCCTTTACCTACTTACTTTCTTATTCCTATATCCTTAATTTTTTAAAACTTTTAACCTATATTATCTAAAATCTAGTAAGTATTTAATCTATATAATTAAGTAGTTACTAATCTAAATTAGAACTATCTACTATACTAGTCCTAGTACTACTAGAAGTTCTTCTAGTTACTTATTACGCTCTTTATATAAGAGCTATTAGGGCTATAGCTTAGGGCAAGTTTAATAATTTTAACTTTAAGTCTAAGAATTCTAACAAAAAGAAATACTAGTACTATATTTCTTAGAATAAGTATTATAATCTAGTTAGTATCTAAGCCTAATAGGGTTCCTTTTCTAATCCTAATAGATTCCTTCTTATATTAGCTATAAGTACTCTACTCTTAGGGGTGCTCTTAATAAATACTATAGCCTAGTTATAAACCCTCCTAAAGGGTATAAGGAAGAGGAGACTCTAGAGGCCTTTTAGTTAGATATTAAGTAATTTAAGGCTACTATTTAAGAAGCTACCTAAAACCTAGCTAAGTGTGTTATAGTTACTAACTCTTAAACTAAGGGTATAGAGGCTATAGAGATCCTAATAGCTACCTACTACGATACCTTATCTAAATCACGTAGGCTTTATAATAGTATCTTTAAGATAGTATTAGTAGTTAAAGGTATAACGTAGGTGTGGAAATTTGGATCACTAAGGTTAGGAATAATTTAGGAGATAGATTATTAGATTATATCTACTACAATCGGACTTATATATATAGAGCTTTAGCTACCCTTACTAGAAGGTATATAATTAGTAAACCTTCCGTACTAGAGCTCCTGCTTTTATTAGGCACTTAGTAGTAAGCTAGCAGTTAATTAGATAGTAGGTTATGTAGGGGTATTAATTAGGATTAATTAGTATTAATTAGGATTAATTAGGATTAATTAGGATTAATTAGATTAAGATACTCTATAATCTAGTTGTTATCCCTCCTATAACATACCCCCTAGGTGTAGGTAGATCTTTTATTATTATAGTTACGCGCGCGTAGTTAGTAGGTAGTGTAGCTAATTAGAGCGTTATACATCTAAAGGGTTAAATTAGCGCACCCTTTAGATATTAGTTTAGAGCTAGCGTGCCTTCCTTATTAGGCCTATATACTTACGTGCTAATAGTATCTAGACTAAGCTCTAAACTCTATCTACCTAACTATAATCTTTTACTATAGCTTAAATTATAAGATTATATAACTCTAAAGATCTAACTATACCTATATCCCTACTAACCTATATCTTAGTTAAAGTTAAAATCTACTACTTACGCTTACTCTACCTACGCTACCTATAATACCTCCTATACTACTAAAGCTACTACTATTAAGGTTAAGCGCGCTAATACTAATACTATTAAAGAAGCTAAGTGTATAGCTACTAAGCGTAAGGCTATTATAGAGCGTGCAGTAGCTAAGTATATAGCTACTACTACTACTAAGGAGGCTATAATTAATACTACTTAAAAGAAGTATATATAGTTATATTTAGCTAAGATTAAGAGGCTAAAGAAGGGGTATATCTCCCCCCTAACTCTTACTCCTCTAGCTCTATCTCTATTACCTGCGCTTACGCCCTCTCTAGCCCTTGCTCCTCCCTAGACCCTAACTAAGGCCCCTACTCCTACTCCCTCTCTAGCTCCTAAGGAGACCCTAAGATCCTCCTACTATAGAGAGCCTAGTATTTATTATACTAAAACTTATCTAAATTATCTACGCTCTACACTCTTTTATAACTCTTCTAGTAGGGGGACTTAGTACTAGTAGTGCTTCTTTAGGTATAGCTATATCCTAATATATATAATCTATATAAGAATGTTTCTATTATAATACTTAGCTATAAGATTAATACTAATAAACTAATTTAGCCCTAAGCTTGCCTAATATTCTACGCTATCCTTCCTAGTAAGGAAGTAGGTAGGTAAGAGCTAAGATCTTCTTAAGGATAAGAAGAGAAGAATCTTAGTGCTCCTTAAGGAGAGTAAGGCTAAATAGTAGGAGCTAGTAAAAGCTACTACTACTACTACTAAGCTTACGCGCAAGGCTACTACTATAGCTAAGGGCGCCTAGAGCTCCTTATTAGAAGATAAGGACTCTAGCTCCTCTAAGGTTCCCCCTATAGATCCTAGGTAAGGATAACCTAGGTAGCTCCCTATAGACTCTAAGGCACGCTATACGCGTATAATAGAGCTTCTTAGGGAAGCTACTTAGTTAATAATAAAGAGGTAGGCTATAGTTATTTTTATATTATATATTAATAGATCTTATATACTACCTTTACTTTAATTAATACTCTATAATATATACTCTACTATTATATAACTTAGGTATTCTCTAAACCTAATAAATTATTATATAGTTAGGTTTTTAGTAAGCCTATTAGCTAGTATTTTACTAGTAAGTAGGTAAGTAATATAGAAAGATCCCTTTATATATTTATATCTAAGCTATATGTTTTAAATATCTATATAGCGTAGCTTAGTAGTAATCCTTTTATTATTACCTACTACTAACCTAATAGTTTATTAATTATTATAATTAATTATCTAGGTAGTATCTAAAGTAAGGTATAGTTTAGTTAAAAAGTGTTTTAACACTATTACTTCTTTACTTACTTACTTAAGTGCAAGGAGCTCTACCTTAGTAGTTAAAGTAGTAATAGTTACTTATTAAGCTGCCTTCTAAATAATAGGTCCTCTAAAGAGCGTAATTAGGTATCTATATAATACTTACTAAGTATTAATATTATTAGCAAATAACCTATTACTATATATTATAAGCTTATTAGGATTGCTATTCCTATATTAGATTAATTAGTATTAAGTGTAGTATAGATAGATAATTAGTTAATTAACTGCGTTAAAATATTATTTAGATAGGTTAGTAAGGTATTAGGAGAGCTAGGAGGCTATATAGGTAATATTAGGGCGCACTATAATTAAGGTATAAAGGATTAATCTAACGCGCTCCTAATAGTCCTTAATCTCTTTTTTAGTGGCTTCTCCTATGCTCTTTTTAATATCTTTACTTAATAGTAGTGTAGCAGGGAATTTTCCTGTCTCTACTAGATTGAATTTCTTTGTAATCTTGTTAATATATTTATTATAAATAAGCGTTATTATCTGTCTCTTTCTATCCTAGATTACTCTTACCCCTAGAAACTAGCTTATAGGTCCCTTTTCTTCTATAGTATATCTTTGCTTTAGAGCTTAGATAACTTTGTAAGCTTAGCTTGCGTAGTTTTAGTAATAGAGCGATAGGATATCGTCCACATAGAATATTAACAAGATACTGCGATCTCTGTTAAAGAATAGGTATAGCTCCTCTTTAAAAGTAATAAGCTTATTTTCTTAGAGTGTAGTTAAGAGCTTATTATACTATAATAATAGTAAGTCTTTTAATCTATATAGAGCTTATTTAAGCTTAACGCACTTCCTAGGCACTTAATATCCTTTAGGTAGCTTATAAATAACTATTAGGTGTTAATCCCTTAAGATATTAAGGAAAGCTGTAACAACGTTATATTAATATATCTTAAGGTTAAACTTAGCTCTAATAGCTATTATAGTCCTAAAGGTTTAAGCTACTAGGGTAGCTATATAAGTTAAATACATTAAGTTAGTAAGCTATAGATCTCCTCTTACTACTATTCTTGCTTTACACTTAATTAGGTAACTATCCTTATTAAGGTTATATATAAACACCTATTTAAGTAGGAGTAGATACTCTCCTATATTTAGCCTATTAATCCCCTCCTAGGTACTAGCTTTTAGTAGAGTATTAATTTCTTTATTTACTACGTCTTTAAATTGCTGTCCTATTTAGTAGTTATAGAGATCCTTCTATTATTTTAGCTCTTTTTATAGAGCGTCCTAGTGCGTATTCCTTTTAGGGTTTTAGGGAGATTTACTCCCTATTACAACTATAATTATAGTATAGATTATAGTATTTAGTTTAGGATATACTAAAAGATTATATAAGGGATTTCTAATTAGATCTATACCTAATAAATCTATTACTACGTATATCCCTGCACTTATAGAGCCTCCTAGTAGTCTTAGTTTATTAGGGTCCTGTCCCTAAGCTTGCTTACTAATATACGTTAGTGGCAGTCCTTTAATCTATAGTTT